TTCGGACTCTGTGTCTCCCTCTCTCTCTCTCTGACCCTCCCCTGCTCATGCTCTTCTCTCTCTCAGAAATTAAAAAAAAAAAGAAAAAAAAAAAAGAAAAAAACCCCCCAAAATGATAATTCAGTCTTTATAGACAAAGAATGATTTCAGTCATAAATAACTCAGGTGATACAGATGGAGGTTCCCAGTGATGAATCTGCAAGGTTTCCAGCCCCACGTTATAACTCAGATGATGGGGGGGGGGGGTGTTTCCAGGGACAAACCACTGGTAAGGTGGCAGGTAAGGGATCAGAGGTGATGGAACCAGAAGACTTCCTGTCAAACATGAGAGCATAGGTGACAGGTATCGAAATTTTCCAGTCGTAAGCTGTAATTCACACAGCAGCAAAAGGTTTCAAGGGATAAGTCCCATGATGGAGAAAGTTTCCAGGCATAACTGATCATTCAGATGGCAGAGGAAGGCTTCTAGTGCAAAGTAATAGCTCAGCACAGGCAAATACCGCTTCCAGTCACCGAGGATGACTCAGGTGGTGACACGAAAGCCCGCTAGCCACAAATGATAACTCAGATGACAGGGAAGGAAAGGCTTCCAGTTGTAAATGCTGCGCGAGTGGTACGGGAAGGGGCCCAGGCGCCAGGCGCGGCTCGGGCGGTGCAGAGACGCAGGCTTTGTCGTAAGTGATGCGTCACGTGGGGGAGAAGTGCGTTGTCAGCCTGAACTGCACGCTCAGCAGATACTCAACAGTATGCAGGTGACCGAGGATGCGGATTTCCAGGCATAACTGATAAGTCACGGAGTAAGAAAGGTGTCTGATCGCAAAGGGCAGGCCGGTGGTTTGGACAGATAGGAGCCCGTCAAGGACTGTGTAACTCACGGAACCGAGAGGGACGTTCAGCCAAAAGTGACACCTCAGGAAAAGAGAAGAAAAAGGTTTCCAGAAATCAATGTTCAATAAGTTGACGGGGAAGGAAGTGTTGCGGTCATAAATGTGACTCAAGATGGCAGACAAGGGTGGGTTTCGGTCATGAACTGTAACTTAGGAGATACGGAAGGAATCCAATCTTAAATCTGATCCAGAAGCAATGGAGTTTCACCGTAAAGGATAATTAGGAGATAGAGAAGGAAGGCTTCCACTCAAAAACGACAACGAAGGTCACAGAAGGTTCTGCAGTCTTAAACGCGAGTTCAGATGGGGGTGGAGGAGGGAAGGGCTTACGATGATAACCGACAGCTCACGTGATCAGCCACGAGCGAAGGTTTCTGGTGCATCAAGCCCAGGTGCCAGCACGCTTAGGACACGGGCAGGAGACATACAGAGAAAGCCGTCCATTACTGACAACTCCGGTGGTAGAGAAGGAAGACTCTCAGTCAAAAAAATAACTCACATGACAGAGGAAACAGGTTTCTAACTGAATGGTAACTCATCTCATAGAGAAAGGTTTCCAGTCCTAAGTGAGGACTCACACGACAGAGATCACACTTGTGGTGGGTTGGGTCTGGGTCGCGGGGGGTGCAGGGCCAAGCAGGGTGCGGGGCCGTGGCGCTCGAGCGGCTCCCTGTGCCACGAGAGACGAAGACCCCCGCCTCTGCTTGAGTCTCCCCCCGGCTTCCCACGAAACGTGTCCGCTCTTAACCGACCTCTAGAATGGTTCAAGGGACGAGTCCTTTCTCCCGACAGGGGCCTCCGCCGACAGGCCGCCTTTGGTCTGGTGGCCCCGTTGTCTTTAGAGTCCGAACTGTCGAGTCGCTTGGCTCCCATGCCCAATCCTGCCCTCCCTGGTTGGGGCCCCACGCCTGGCGGGCCGGTGCCCGGGTGGCCGGGACCGAGGAGGCTGTCACCTGCCCTCGGGCCTGGGGCTGTGCTGTGAGGTATATGGGGGCATGTGAAGTGCTCGGACACGTGACAATTGCAAGGACGGTGCACCGGGTCCTATGGCGTGAGGCACCCTGCACGCAGGGAAGGAAAAGCTGGGGCCGACGGACAAGGGCCGGGAGGCGGCGGGAGGGTCTCCAGACGCCCAGAGAGGCGCAGCTCACACGGCGGAAGAGCGGGGACTCGGTGGCCCAGCACGTGGACTCAAGGGGGCCGAGTGTCCCCAGGGGGTCCCAAGCCACGACCCAGGGAGAGGCACCTGTGGGGATGGCTCCCGAATCCAACTCCCCAGAGTCGTTGGACCTTCCGAGCCTGCAGAAGCGGCCCCAGAAGTAGGGCTCAGTAGCACGACCGAGCCGGGGACACGCCAAGATTCCCAAGGCAGCACCGGGACCACACTCCGGGGTGTCGCCCAGGGAGCCGGAGGGCAAGACGGCTCTGTGAGAATTCAGGACTTCGGTGCTTTCTTGGGACCCAGGGTTGGATTTCCCGGCAAAGACCGGAGGGAAGGGCAAACCCACTCACTGCTCAGGGGCCCTCGCAGGCCTGAAGACACACATGGTCATGTGGAGCCCTGGCAGCAAGGAAGGGGTGGGGGGCAGGCAGCGGGCCTGTGCTGGGGGGGCCGGGCAGCCGCGGGGGGAGCTCACCAGAACCAGCTGCCTTTCCTTGCTGCGTGTGTTAGGGATGAAACGACACACTTACCATCAGGCCCCTGGCCGGTGGGGCGAGCCACCCCAGGGGGGAGAGCCGGGGGCGGCCTTGGAACGGACTCCCCATGGCGGTTTGCCAAAACCAGTGCCGCACGGTGGGAAAGCGTGCAGGCAGGGACGTGCCCTTCCCACCTCTGCTCACGGTCCACCTGGTCCTGCCGAACCGGGCCCAGTGGACTCCCTCAGCCACGGCTAAGGCGTGGCCTTGCCGGCTCCGGGCCCCACACCTCTGCACCAGGCACCGTCTCATGCCTACAGTGGCCCACGGCTCGTGCCCGCTGATGGGGAGGACTCGGAAAAGCGGCCCCGCAGGCGGTCACACGCACTCGGCCGTCTGCAGGGTGCCGCTCGCTCACCGTGCAATCTCATGGCCCCCAGGCTTCTGGGGGCAGCACTCGGGCCGTCTCACCCGTGAGGACTGGGCTGCCCACCGCAGGAACGCAGCTCCGCCTGCCCTCCCGGACCCGCCGCTTGAGGGCGGGACAGCCCCGAGCCGGTGGGAGTGCCTAGCTATGCCCGGCAATGGGCCCCTGGGAGGTTTCGGCTGCGGCCCACAAAGTGCCCCCGACACGGCCTGTGCCAGGGGACGACCCAGGACCTGGTCCTGTCTCGGGGCCCCCGTGTGACCCTGTCCTCACGCTTTGGCCCACCACCCATCTTCAGCAGGCCCCTCTGGGTGGCCTGCGTCTCCTCCTTACACACGCCGCGTGAGCTCGGTCCTGATGAGCAGGGAGAAGCTGGGACACTCCTGCCCCCGCCGCCCCCTCCCCTGCTCACAAGTCCGTGATCAGGCACACCCCAGGCACAGACATGCACGTGGACACACGTGGCTCTTGGGGAAGAGAGAAGGGACTGCAGAGGCTGAAGAGGGACATGTAGCAGGGTCGGTGGCCTTGGCTGACCGCCTGGTCCGCCCTGGGGCCTGGCTGAGCCCCCCCCCCCCCCCCCCCAGCGCACGCACGGGGCTTTACCTGTGAGCTTCCCTTCCCACTGGCGGTCTCCCTCACCCTGTCTCACCAACCAGCCCTGCCCCTCCCGCCCCGCCGCCCACCCCGGCCCCCCTGCTCGGCCCCCCCGCCCCCCTGCCCGCCCGCCTGCCCGCCCCCCTCCGCCCGCCCAGTCCCTGGCTCCTTCCCTCCATCTGCACACCTGGACACCAGGCATTTCAGTAGCAAACTCACAAGACGAAGCTGTCTCAGGGTCCCCCACTCCTGGAGCACAGCACACCCCTCTTCTGACCCCAGGGCCCACAGACACCACTTTTACCCCCACTTCAGGGCTGGAGGAGGCCAGATCCAGGCTCCAGATATGGCTCCTGCTGCCATTCCCATAAATGGTTCCAACACCTCAAAGCATGAAACAGGCTAAAAGCTACATAACCATGTGAATGTCTTAATAAAATTCAAATCATCAGACTGAAGAGACTCAACATGAGAAAATTCTGGTGGAGTAAACTTTAATAACATAAAAAGTTTGTAACAAAAGCCAACATGTTCTTCAAAATGTGTACAAAACATCAACACAAAATTGATTGAGCATCAGGTAAGCACAAAGCATGACACCCTAGGAGGCAGACCAAGTTCTAGGCGGCTTGTTGTGCGCAGTCAATGCGCAACTGCTTGAGCCATGAGTATCGACATTGAAAGATGACGGGCAGGAAACCGTGTGTGGCACACGGCACCCCCCACCATCCCCTACACTGCACCTTTCTCACAAACAGCACCTTGTATTAGAAGACCACTCTACCTGGAAGTTTCTCTTCTAGAACATAGTAACAGGGTTTGGTTTCGTTTTTTCACTCATTAGTCTCTGAAATGTTTGCACTAAATAAAATAAGGTCAGCCCAGAAAGCAAAGGCCAGTTTTTACTTCAGTGACACAGATGTTTTTAATGCTAGGATTACATTCTTAAGACAACATCGCTTTTGTTTCTTAACACCAATGTTAAGGGGCGCCTGGGTGGCTCAGTTGGTTAAGCGTCTGACTTCGGCTCAGGTCATGATCTCATGATTCGTGGGTTCGAGCCCCACATCAGACTCTGTGCTGACGGCTCAGAGCCTGGAGCCTGTTTCAGATTCTGTACCTCCCTCTCTCTGACCCTCCCCTCCTCACACGGTCTCTCTCTCAGAAATAAAAAACGACAACAACAACAAAAACAAACCTATATTAATTGCCTCTTTTAAACAAAACCCTTTCCAGAGGCAGGATGGAGTGCGCGCACTTAGCAGAACTTGAATTATCTTTTTTTTTTTTTAATGTTTTATTTATTTCTAGGGGAGAGAGAAAGAGAGAGACAGCGTGAGCAGGGGAGGGTCAGAGAGAGAGGGAGTCACAGACTGAAACAGGCTCCAGGCTCCGAGCCGGCAGTCAGCACAGAGCCCGACGCGGGGCTTGAACCCACGAACTGCGAGATCATGACCTGAGCGAAAGTCGGACGCTTAACCGACTAAGCCACCCAGGCGCCCTAACTGAATTATCTTTTAAAACCCTGGAAATGACGATTTGTGTTAAAAACACGTTAAGTACAACACACTGCTCTGAACGCGATTCAGCTTCATGGGCTGCTGGCCGCAGGCCTGGCCTGAGTGTACAGAGACTTCTGGGCAGTGCCCTCACCTGCCGACTGTGTTCACGACTATGGGTGGGGGTCCGGATCAGAAGCAAGATGAGAGTTTCTTCCTCTCTTCAAACTGCTTGTCCACGGCCAGAGACAGGGCCTGAAGGAAGACCTCGATGGTGACGGTGGGGGCCTGGAAGGAGACATGGGCACGTGGGGTCCTGCCCTCAGTGGGGCAGCTGGTGGCACCCCCAGCACAGGGCGGGGGGTGGCTGGGAAGACTCTAAAGTGCTGTTCTGCGCGAGCACCTCCACGGGGGCCAGGGAGGGCCCAGTGTGAGCACAGGCGTGTGAGGCGCTGGCAGGCCACCTCCTCACCTCGGAGGCATCGAGGCTCCTCTTCCTGCCCAAGAGCCCATCACTTAGGCACGGAGATGAATCAGATCCCCAACGGTGTTACGTGCAACTCCCTGCGAGGCCATGCCCTGACGCACAGAGTGGCGGCGGGGGGCACGGAGCGCCCAGAGGCAGGGGTGGCCTCGGCAGACTCACCTGGACGTACAGAGCATGAGCCAGAAAAGGGAGTTTCCTCAGGACGCGGCCGCTGAGACCCTCGCTCTTCCTGTGAACAGAACCGCATTTGGGGACAGTTTCCCTCATCTCTGAGCGTCCCCTCCCCTACATCTGGTCACTCCCGGTCCTCAGCTCCTGCCCCAGGCGGGACAGGATCCTTGCTGCCCTGATGTGCCACCTGCCCAGCAGCGCCACGCATGACACGGTGGGCACGTGGCCAGTGGCACGGATCCCTAAGAAACCAGCCTGGTCCCCATCTATTTTTGTACCGAGTGTCTGAACTGCCCTCCCCTGCCTCATCTTGATCAATTTAAATCTCTCCAAGAGATAACCCAAAAGATAATCTCTTCTTCAGGCTATCCCTTTGTTCAAAACCTCCCACAAGCCTCATGGCTTCACGATGAAGTTCAAACTCTGGTTACAATGTGGGCTCTGGGCATCTCCGCCATACGGCGAGGTCCCCTGCACATATGGCGCCCGCAGCCTTCCCCAGTTCTCTCCAGTTTATCCAAATTTTAACTGTCCTTTGAGGCTCCGCTCCATCTCCCTACCTTCGCTCCCTGTCGCCCTTGGTCACCAAAGCCATCTGGGAGGTTGACCGCACTGCCAGCCACGGGCCCCAGCACATGTGTGGCCACAGCGCTCAGGTGCTGAGTGTGCTCTCCTGACACCCTGCGCGGCTGGGCCACATGCTTTCTCGACTTCCCGAAGCACCAAGCACAGGCCCCTGCTTCGCTCTGCTTACCGACTCAAACAGAAGTTTCCACTTTTTTCTTCTTGTCAATTTGTAAACATTTAACAAAAATCGTTTAAGAAATCATTGATGCATCATGAGAGCCTTCATCTGGGTATCCATCTTTTTAGAGAGAAGCACAGCACTGCTGTTTTCTAACGGTGCCTGTGGGAAGGAGGTGGACCCCTACGCTCTGGCCCAGGAGCCCGGGGCTGAGGCTGTCGGGTGCTCTCGAAGCTCTCCCAGCTCATGTGTGACAGATGCCTAGGGTTCAAGTCCCTGTCCTCTGAGCCCAAACCACTACCCTAGGCTACTCCAGTCAGCTACAACCGCCTGTGACCACAGCAAAGGCACTTTTCTAGGTTATAAAAATGAATGGAATTCACACCTTGAAATTTCACTCAAAAGGAGGCTCAACTTTGACACGTTGTTCTCAATGAAGCCAATCATCTCCAGCTCCCGGAGGGTCAGCAGCTGCTGGCGAGGGTATATGATCTGACACTGGAGACAGAGACAGGGCGTCACGGCAGGGTCCCCGGGCAGAGTGCACACTGCACATGGTCAGCCACAGGGACAGCAGCGCATCCCCCAGAAACACGAGCACAGCCACGCCAGGACACGGGCCGCTCCCCTTTCACTCATGCACACACCCCCACTTCTTGAAACCCAGGTGATGTTACAGGTGACAAAACAGGTCTCAGAGACCAGCAGGGACCCAGACTTTTCTGTGCTTTTCATCAAGACGTGGCTTCACTGTGTGTTAGGGCAGGGAGGGACTCGGAGGGGCTGAGGCCAGCCCACTATCAGGTTTCAAAGGCATATCACAACCCAATGAAGAAGAGTCTGACTCAGGAGCCAGGACTTGGCCTGCCTTTCAAGGAGGGTCTCCATTTGTTTTTGTTTTGTTTTAATGTTTATTTTTGAGAGAGAGACAGAGCAGGGGCGAGGGAGGGGCAGAGAGGTTCCAGACTCCATGCTGACAGCACAGTCCGGGGCTCGAACCCATAAACCGTGAGATCATGACCTGAGCTGAAGTTGGATACTTAACTGACTGAGCCACCCAGGCGGCCTTTCATTTGTTGTTTTTGAGAACACTGTCGTGTGACGTGATGGCACCGCCTGACCCTGGATCTGGACTCCATGTTTGCACCTTCTGGTGTTTGCACCTTCCAAAGTGACACTCCCTCAGTGTCCCTGCAGCTCCCCCGGGCCTGCCTCCTGCTGACCCTCTGGTGCACGTGACAATGGCGGGCTCCTGACGGCGTGGGCCAGTCACACCCTGACACACGTCAGCACTGGCCAGATTTCCACTCCGTCATCGAAATGGCTTAATTTCCTGTAAACAGGCTAAGAACCCCCATCTCGCATGCTTGACTTCTAGAAAAAGTCTGTAGGTTAACTGGCAAAACCTCAGAACATTTCCCGGATGCACAGCACAGGTGGGAGCGTGGCTGCCGGCGGGGTGCCATCACTCTGCCTTCTCGGCACAACACTTTCTGGAGCTCACTGGGGATCGCAGGTCAAAGCTCCGTGGGGGCCCCGCTCTCTCCGCGCCACAGCAAAGCGGGACGGGGTGCACACGCCAGACCAGCCCTGCCGTCCCTGTCAGGGGCTGTGTGACCCTTGCTGAGACCATCAGGGCCCCAGCCCCGTGGTGACGCGCTGGGAGTCGATCCCTCCCCCGCTCTCCTGTCACACACCGTGGCAACGGTCACCGCGTACATCCCCCGCCGGCGGGCTTGGTGCCGCACGTCTCCCCGACTCAGGGTTCAGGAATGCTCCCCTGCGAGACGGGACCGGCTGCCTCGGGCCTGCTGCGCCTAGTGCTGGTCCCGGCACCCAGGTCCTGGTCTGAGGGATTTACACCAGACCCCCCGGGAGTGCTGCCTCGCCCACGGCGGCTGTGCTCATTGCTGTCACTAGAACACGGGACCAAAATGACATTACTGCTGTAACCAATGACATCCCTGTGAACTGTGACCTCCAGTCAGGTCTCCCTGCAAACCAGGGCGTGTCCGGGAGGTTACCATACCCCTCCCATTGCCAGCAAATTGGTAGATCATACAATCGTGATCACCATTTTGTGCTGAAAGAGAAAAAATATGGAGTCGGTGGCCATAATTTCAACTATCAGCTCAACCTGTGGGACACATCAACTGCAGCTTTCGACCTAAGATTGAACATGAGCGCCATGTTCAAACCACTCATTCCACGTTGGGATTAGCTACTTTAAACTGCATCAGGAATTAAGGACACACGAGAAATCCAGTGGGAAGAAGGAACACCCAGTACCTTCATCAGTTCTTCCAAACAGGAGAGGTAAATTTTGAAGATGGCTGCTGCAGAGGGTGGTCCAATGTACTGCCGGATGTCAGCTCTGTCCACGAAGGCCACATCGATCCTCTCTGTGATGTTGGAAGTGGTCAGAATCACCACGTTGCAGTGCCTGGAGGCAGAGGAGCGAGAGCTGGTGGGCTGGTGCCTCAGTGACTCCATCACACCCTGTCCGTGAAGGTTCCGGTATGCAGCTAGTGTCTCAGCTGGCCGCACTCCGTGTCCCAACACTGGCCTACGAGGCCTCCCGAGGCCTACACCTCAGTGCCTGCTGGGTCCCCAGCTCCCACCAGGCTCTCCTGGCTCCAACACAATGCGCCAAGCAGATGTTGTTCCTGTCTTCCAGAAAGCTCTCCTAGACGCTCACTTTACTGCTCCTTCTCTTCCCTCAACCGTGGCATGGCAAAGCTCTCACTTTGTTTTCTTTTTTCTTTTTCCTCCTATTTTATCTTGAGAGACAAAGAGATCAGTGTGTGTGTGCAGGGAGGGGCAGAGAGAGAATGAGAATCCCATGCAGGCTCCACACTCAGCTTGGAGTCCAGCGCAGGGCTTGATTCCATAACTTGGAAATCACGCCCTGAGCTGAAATATTGAAGGTCAAATGCTTAACCACCTGAGCCCCCCTGCCCCCCTTGCAGCTCTCACTTCATGTGTGGCGTCCTGAGCGCCCCGTTAACCTGCCCGGGCACGGCCAGCTGAGCACTCACCACGCAGCTCCTGGGACTCACCCACGCCGTGGAGCTGAATTATTTATCCTGGTTTGCGGCCGCTTTCCCCTTTAGCTCCCCAAGAACAAGGGAGCCCCACTGTCTAGTCCGCTGGCTGACGTGGCCAGCACGTGGCAGGCACGAGATACCCCGGGGAGCACACTTTCCAGCCCACTGGGCTCAGGTGCAGGGGACACCGCAGTGCTCGCCGGGGCTCGAGCCGACACAGACAGGAGGCAGAAGTGCGTGGCCTGGGGGGCCCCCGGGAGGGCCAGCTGCACCCGGTATCTGGCAACAGGTGTGTAGCGCAGGGTGAGCAGGGGTGAGCCAGTGAGGGTAGGGGCAGGGAATGCGCGGGTCGCGGGAGCCCGGGATTACATGGCTGGGGTTCTTGTCTGAGAACGGGCTTTGTCCCAAAGAGTCAGATCGACATAAAGGCAGGCCTGGAATGGTGGCCTAAAGGGGTCTGAACAGAAAGCATGAAGTTAAAGAGGCAGGAAAGTTTGACGGAAACCAGAAGCCCGCGCGTCTCCGTTCCCTCCTGAGCGGACCCCTAACGGTGACAGGAGGGGCGCTGGGGCCCCATCTCTGGCTCGAGCAGTGGCTGCACCGCACAGAGAGGCCATTGGTGCAATGGGAACCCTGGGGGGAGGGGGGGCGGTTTCAGGGCCGAGCGAGCTCCCTGGGGGCAAGCCCGACGCTGGGCCCCCGTGGCCCGCAGGCCTGGCGAGTGGTGAGCAACAGAAGAGGGAAGGAGGCCGGACGGTGCGGAAAATGCCAGAGAGAGCAGCCTGCTCTCAGGTGAGGGAGGGGCAGAAAGCAGACTGACGAGCAGCGGCTACTCCGCGCGTGCGGCCGGCCCGGGGCAGGGTGGGAGCGAGCGGCCCCAACAGCAGTTGCAGCTCAGGAAATTAGGGCCTCTCTGCAGGAAACCTACAGTGGAGGCCCGGGACAGTGGCCCTTGGCACAACTCAGCTCCCCGCGAGCCCACACGCGACAAGCTAGCTCCCACGCCACACTCTGCCTGCCAGCAGCCTCTGTCGAGAGCACTCCCGGGACCCACCGCAGGAGCTGTAAGCGGCGGAGGCGCGGCAAAGCGCTGTGGACAGACAGGGGCTCTGGCATGGACGTGACCTCCTCGTGAGCCAGGTGACGAGGAGCCACTCCCTCAAGCTGCATGGGCTCAGGGCACACTGACCACAGGCCCCCGCCCTGCAAGGCTGGGCTGTGGAGACATGGAATCTGGCCCCATGAAGGGCCTGCGGGTGCCGCTTGCCTGCCCACTGCCAGTCCTTCAATGCCCACAGACGCTGGGTGGTGCTGGCATTGGCGCTTGAGGCTGTGTTTCACTGGCACGTGCTTCTCTGCATACCTGAGTTTTGCCTTGTGTTTCTAATACTTTAATAAAAGCACCTAACCCCAAAGTGCTGAATTTAGCATATACACCGCCTCCGGTGCGGAAAAGGGCCGATACTCAGCAGCCTTGTTTCTAGTCGGAGGAACTGAGAAAGGTCTGGGGCGTGCGGCCACCTCACGCCCTCCCTGTGGCTTCTCACGTGAGACCCTGCCAGCATTACCTCTTAATCTGATCGATCTGGGTTAAGACGGCGTTGACCACACGGATGGCATCTGAAGGCTCGGTGCCTGCCCGGCAAGCATTGCGGGCGGCCGTGAGGCTCTCCACCTGTGGGGATGGGATGACAGGTGCAGAAGGACAGCGCCCGGCCCCAGGGACAGCCATGCGCTGCATCAACCGAGCAAGCGAGGGACAAGCAAATGGGTGCATGTGAGTCCACGATGCCAAAAGCGTGACGTGTGGGACACGGGGGGGGGAGAGGCCTCAGCCAGGGGTCTGATCTCCTTCAGTCATGGGTGTGATGTCCAGACGCACCTACCTCATCAATCAGTACAAACACCAGCGCATCTTTGTCATCAATCAAGTCTTGAATCTTCTGGAACATCTTTGTTACCAGCTTGCCGCTCTGGAAACAAAACACTCCTTTAGCGTTGACTTGTATTCTTCACGCCGCCTGCTGCACACGCCTACCTGCGGTCCCTGCCCAGCCTCGTTCTGACCCCAGGCGGCCCCACAAACCCACTGTCTCCTAACGACCCCTTAGAGAAATCCCTGAATCCAAGGAGCCAGGGCCACGCAGGAGGAGGCTGGCCACGTGGGCCCCTTGCCCTGTTCCATGTGCCGGGACAGTGAGCCTGAGCCCACGCCAGCTGCCCTCCCTCCTTCCTGCTGCCTGCCATGCGCATGACTAGGAACAAGAGGGGTCATAGATGCAGGCGTGTGAGCCGAGCGCACCCCATGTGGGGGCTCCCTGTCCTGGGTCACCACCCACTGGAGGGATCTGCTCACACAGGTGCTCAGGCAGGGATCTCCTGTGCTGAGAGGCACCTACAATGTCTTGGCCGAGCACCGCGGTTTGGATGGAGGAACACAGGGAACAAGGCTCAGAGCCCCGAGGGCGTGCTCGGCCGAGGATGCAGCCTTCTGCTGAATGCAGGTTACCCCCTCCCAAGAGAAAGTTGAGTGTCTGTCCCACCCAAAGGTCTGGATGCAACCAGCAGAGGGTGCTCTGAGGCCTCACTACTTCCACGTTACCACTTAGCTCTGGAACTTCCCTCTGACCGCAGACTCCGCCCCACTGTTATGTGTCACCTACTGGTCTCTGAGGCTCTTGGAGGAGAGTCTGTCTACTACTATGAGCCACTTATTCCACTATATGGTTGACAATCCCAACAAGCAGAAGTGATGCTGATACTTACTTCTGAAAACCACTTAGAAAAGAGGCTGTGGCTGTTTATTTCAATTAATTGGCCATATCGGTACCTGGGATGAGAAAACAGAGTTATGACAATCGGTTTACAAATTGCTCCTATGGCACCTGCATTGGCAACTGCTTCTGCTTCTTTAACCCAGCATCCCTCCGCTGCCCACTAACTGGTTAAGTCACCACAGCTACCAACGGAGGGGTCGCGCAGCAGCCGGCACAAGTACTTAACGACAATCTGATGATACGCGACCGGTGGTCCTAGCTGCAGCAAATCAAGGGTTTTGAACTGGAAAACATCTTTCCTTGACTCAAAGCAAAAGTAACATCTCTCTCTTAATCTACTTGTAACTGACATCTTGTGCTCTAAGAAGTGTCACCAGCAGTAACAGGGCAGCAAAATGTAACCGCCAGATGTTTTCTGGCCAGAGCTGAACGTGTCTTCCTCCCTCCCTAAACCTAAACGAGTGGACAATCTGTTTCCCAGCACAAACTCACTTCCTGCGGACCTCAGGGCCTTGGGGCGCCCAGGGCTCCCAAAGTGAACCTCAGTATACACTGACAGACTGGAATCTAGTGCTGATCCTCTGTGCACAAGAGATGCCCAGGTGCACTTAGTTCTAACTAAAATCAAACAAGGACCGAGACTGAGGCAGAAGGGAAGCTGAGCCACATCCCTATGTCTCAAAAGTCCACATGAGAAAAACAATCACCTTCAAAAAATTATAACTGGCTTTCCACTAATTCTGTTTACCAAAGAGGGTGAGAGAGACACAACCTATTGGAATAAAGACTGGGGTGAATACTGAACAAAATTAATCCTAAAACATCTTGATCAGGTGAGCAACAAAGACTCGCTAAGGTTTTTCTTTGGCATTTCTAAGCCGCAAAATAAATGCATGTTTCCAGATGGCTGTACTGCAGAAAGTTTCTTTTCTTGCAGTTAACATCTTCAGTGTCCGGTGTTTCTGGTAACTGATCCGCAAAGCAGAGATGCATCTCAGTATGTCAAGACAAAAACCAAGTTGCTTACACAGAATAAAGGGTAGAAAAAGAGCAATTTCATTACATAAAAACACTCACAGGACGTTTTGAAATAGAATAAAATTTAAAGTGTTCATCCTAGGATACACACTGAAGTAACAAGTATCAGATTAACCCTCTGAATCAACCTGCAAACGAGACAAAATAATCCCGACAGTATCTGCCAAGCGCACTGGACAGCAGGCGTGGAGGACTGTAGCCCCACACGGGAAGTGAGGGGGGCTACAAGCGCTCTGGCTCTCTGCCTACAGCACCTTTGAGCTCCACGACCCTGGAGGGGACCCAAGAAGTGCACAGCCATTGCGCTGAATTGGACACAGAGGTCAGAGTTCAAGGAGCCTAAGGCAGCTGTAGGCTGCAGAGCAGGGTTCCAGAGGGGAGGTAGACACGCAGGAGGAAAGCTCTAGGAATCATCATGGGGTCCCTCTGGGTCTCTGCTGAACACTTGGGCATGTGTGAAACAGAAATCCTGACAGGCTACAGAACCGTGAACTGCACACCTCTTGGTGCTCACAGGCTGGGAAGTTCAAGTTCCCAAAGGCTGAGGTGGACAGTACCAGCCATCACTCAGGGTGCCCAACTGAGATCCCAGAAGGGCCTTGCTAGCAAAGCTTAAAAACAAACCTCCGAAGGACCACACTAAATCACAAGTGAAATGCTCACCAGGACAAAACCCCACAGAAACCATGTCTGCATTCCACCGAAACTTACCTGACAGCACAAGCAGCAGAAATGGATCCAAAACCAGAGAAACACCAGTCTATATAATATAAAGACCCAGAACTGACCATGGTGATGGGCTTAGTAGGGAAAATTGTGACACGGCGACCACACACTGGCTCAAACATTTTAACAAGAGGCTAACGTAGAGAGAATTGAAAAGTATAAACGTCCAAGTGAATATCCAGAAAAGAAAAATACATGAACAGAAATGAAAATGTCACTGAATAGAATTAAAAGCAGATTAGAAAACTGCCCAAAATGGAACACAGAAAAATTCCAAAACCTCAAAGACAAAAAAGCCACACCAGTGGCCTATGGGAGAATATCAAACAATGGAACATGCAAATAAATGGGTTCATTCCTAAAAAATGTTTGTGTATGTTGGGGGGGAGGGGGGTTAGTTGAGAAAATAATGGCCAAATGGTGTCTAAACGCGATGAAACCATAAACCCCCAAACAGACAGAACCCAAGGAGAAAGAGACAAATCCACCCCTAGCTTGGCCATGCCTCTCTCCGGTGACAGCACAGCGGACCGTCAGCGAGAGCAGTGAGCATCCGGCCTTGGGGGCAGAGTGACTCGGACACACATGTAGGGCAGTCCCCAAAAGAGCACGTGCTGATTGTTAAGCAAGTGCCGTGAATGTAAAAGAATGAACCTCTAACTTAGGACAATGCTCAGTACAGGGGTGAATCTGCTCTGAAAGAGAGGCATCTACTACTGGAGGAAGACGATTAAGAAATAAAACCGCTTTCTGTGTCACACATGAAGAGCAAACAATCCCGTCCTCGTGCTCCCCTTTCTCGAATTACCAAAAGTTACCTGCTTGAAAGTCTGATGGTCAACTTCTGGGCTAGTGCTTTACACAGGGATGTTTTTCCAGTTCCCGGAGGACCTGTAATGAAACCCAAGCAAATGTGGTTTTTCAGTCAGTGTGGTAACAAATTCCTCAAAACAACAGTCGTTGCTTTAATCCACAGCACACAAGCCAAGCTCCGAGCTCCGAATGCTATTACCCCAAGGATGGGGTAGCTCGCAAAGAAGCCCGCTAGCAGCGCACGTGCTATAAAATACTAACATCACACTTCGCAAGGCTTTCCTTTTTCTCCCAGTTGACCTCAGCCCGTGTTTCTGCTCTCAGCTTCCATGACCCAACACGGCATCGCCCCCCGGCCTGTGCATCCCCTCGGCGTCCAGAGTGAGCACATTTCCTGGTCTCCGTCCGCACTGACACCCTCCCTGTCCCCACACATGCTCTATAAAACCCACTTGCTAAGGCACCTTGTGGAAGGCCAAACAGCTTTCATGAGAAGCATCTGGACTAAGGCACTGAAGTCTGCCATTTCTGCAGCGCACAGCATCCCCGGCTTTCACCGCCGCCCACACTGAACCAGAAGAGCAGCTGGCGAGGCCCTGCTCATACAGCCCCCTGGCCCACGTGCCACCGAGCAGGACGCCGGTCAGTAGCTGAGACGGCCAATGTGGAGGGACAAACGCATCTATCGGAAAACGCAGACACTTTCACATCTGGTTTTCTATGTGCATTCTTGAGAATTAAAGAAAAAACATAGATCCAATTCTAAATGGGAAACACTTTATTTCACCTATCAAAATACCTACCGACTGCCCACTCAGAACCCAGTATCAGGAGAATATGCTGACAATATCTGTTGTTTAAAAACACGGTTTTGGGGGCGCCTGGGTGGCTTGGTTAAGCATCTGAAACTTGATTTCGGCTCAGGCCATGATCTCAGTTTGGGAGATTGAGCCATGAGTCAGGCTCTGTGCTGACAGCACGGAGCCTCTTTGGGATTCTCTCTTCCTCTTTTTCTGCCCTTCCCCCATGCGCGCACTCTCTCTCAAAACAAATAAAATCTTAAAAAAAATATTTTTTTAAGACTCCACAGAACCATATAATCTTAACTGGTCTGAGAAGCTAATTACTCTGCATTCCCACCTCACCATTACTTGGGCATTCTCTGGATTTCTTTCTAACCAGTAACATCAAGAAAAAAATCCAATGTTCTCCTCTGAGAAGACTCAGACAGAATTTCAGTGAAGCACGGATGTTGCGGTTTAAGGTCACAAAGCGAAGCTCCAGGAACACTACAAAAACGTGAGGCAGTTTCTACCCTCGGGATTGTATGATCACTTAGGGGAATTAGGCAGTTATTTGAAAAGTTTAATCATAACGTAGAAAGGTCACAAGGCAGAGACCAGGCAGCTGCTGAGTGAAGGGTCAGGTGACAGATGCCCAGAGTAACGGGAACTGGAGTGGCTTCTCAGGGAGGGGACATTCGAGGACAGCGCTGGCTGCGTCAGAAAACGGAACTGTGACTCCTCGAAGGCCAATAGGACGAGTAAAAAAGTCCGACTTCACACAGTTTATTTGGTTAAATAATGAAAACCAGACATGTTCTTACCGTGAAGCAACACCACCCGGTTCCAGGTGATGAGATTGCTGTCGACATTCTTGTCTGAAAACAGTAAGGTTGTCATCACATAATCGAGGAGCTGAGCGAAGAAAGGTAAAATGCACATAAAGGTTCAGACAAGGCAAAGGTTCCCACCAGAGGTGCTGCTAGAGCTGGTGCCCGAGGAGAGGGCAGCTCTCAGAGACTGGCAGCGCCAAGTGCCTGATGCCTCATAGGTTTTCATTTTGGAAGAAACTCAGAACGTACGTGGCCAGATTGGCTGCTGCTACTCTAACTGTACAGACACAGAGGACCCACAAAAGGACTAGACTTAGCAAGGGATGAGTGGGCTCTTCCCTCTGGGATCACACAGCAGCGGGCAAGCCACAGCACATTCACTCGGGACAACAGCCCGGACTGTGGTCACGCAGCCTGCGGCGGTGTGGGGATGGACTTCTGGCATCCCCCACAGCATGGGGGACCCTTCCCCTTGAATGGGGGTTCAGACGAGCCAGGGCTTGCTCGGACCTGCCCACCTGCTCTGTCTGGCCCTCGGCCCTGCCTCCTCAGTCCCAGTGGGTTAAGAGCACAATGCAGTGAAAGCTCTCCTTCCATTCTGCACCTCCCCTCCCTCCCCCACGGGACAGGTATCTGGGACATGGGGTGCTGGAGGCCCGAAAAGTTCCCCAAAGCCTGTTTGAGTCATGGGGCTCAAAGAAGCTGGAGAGCAACACAATATTGATCCCACCTCAAATAACCAGGCCTTCTTGCAGAGTAACACAGCAACTTACATGAGATTTGACTTCCACATCATATACCAGGCTGTCCCAAAGCCCATGGAATTCAGCTGCAAGAGGAAAACAAGAACCCAATTTCAGGAAAGCAAGCACTGCACTGACCAGTGAGGTCTGCCCTGAGCCGCTGACGCTCTCTGCTGTACCACATATAACAGGCTGAAGGTCTCTTAATTACCGGGAAGTTGAATTTTTGAATTTTTTCTTAAAAGTTTAATTTTTCTTTAAAGATGCAAAGTACCTGCCAGTCACACAGCTTTCAACAGACAATTAAATGGAGTACGGGGTTACTTTCTCGTCCTGTGACCACGCACAATTATCTGTTGTGGACCCGCACAGAGCCTGCCCCACTGCTCTCCCACACCAGCCAGTGCTTGGGTGGGGCCGAGCCAGGTCCGGGCCGGCAGCCGGGACACCAGATGAGAACGTTGAGGACTCTACCTGCTAGAACCATGGCAGAGTCCACAGGGAAGCCCAGAAAAGGCAGGAGGAAGGGCCTGGCAGGTGATGATCAACTGGGAAGGAAAGAACACTTCCGGATTCTTAGCACCATCTCTGAAGGAACCGCCTTATGGTGGAGATCCCTACTTTTACCTTGTGACATGCTCTCCACTCCACAGGAAATAAAACACCCCGAAAGTCTACATAAGTGACAGACGAATACAATCTGCCTGGCTAACTGACTTGGGGAGGAGGGCAGGCCACAGGCCGACCTCTGACTTCGTGTCCTAGGTGCACCACCTCCCCTCCCCCCATGCCTGCGCACCTGCGGGCAGGACCCAGTGACTCGCTGCTGTGATGTTCTCAGTCTCCTCCTCCAGGGTCTCACTGCTGGGGCCACCCTCATTCAGCTGGAAGATGTGAAGCGCAATCGTGCAGGCACCTAAGTCAATGGGCTGCGATGAGAAGGAAAATCAAAATAAACTCACATAGACTGAAAATAACTCCCTTCCCAATTCTAGCTGTAAAGATTACATTGTAAAGTCCAAAAATAGAAGTTGAATATACAGAATGTTAGAAACTAGTTCTTAGATTAGATAAAGAGGCTGTTATATTCAGATTCAGTATCAACTCATTTAAAAATGTTTCTCTCTTCTAAGATACCACTCTATTGTTCTTTGTATTGTGGAAGTTACAGGTTTGTTGAAAACATACGAACAATACAGAATGAAAATAGTCAAAGTCTCCCATCCAACCTCACACATGCAATGATCTACAACACAGCCACATACACTTGACCAAAAAAGGATTCAACCACATAGTTTTCTAAACGTGCCTGTCTCATTTCTTTTCCATAGCTTTGTCATATTTGGTTTGATTGTATCATTTACTTAACCAATCTCTGACAGATGGATAAGTAAGCTATTTCAAATTGTTAGCTACTATTAACAACGTATATAAAAAACTACCTATGCATTCCCACAAAATCACATAATTATGCGTAAAGACAAATTCCTCTAGGTGAATTGCAAAGTTGAGAATGCTAAAGTGGCTAATCGTCAGCACCCATGCCCTCCACTTAGGCTGAGTTAATCTGTCCTTCCTCAGTAGTGTGGAAAGCACTTCTGCTTCCTCCAGGATGTCCAGAATCAGGTATGATGCGTACAACTGACAAAGCCACAACTGTTATATAAGAAAGGGGAGGTCCACTTTCTATGTAATACTTTAGTGCCAAACTACTGCTTCCAAATTGATTCTATAGAAGACATGACCCGTGCAGATAGAGGTGATGCATCAGACACTCTGGGTTGTTTCTACAGTGACAAAATGCCCCAATGCACCCACCCTCTCCCACGATGATGGTGGGCGAGGCAGTTCGCATGCCGGACTAGAAGAAGCTCTTCTCCACGACAGGCCCCTCGCATCCCTGCAGTCCCTGTGCCTCCTGCAGTGACTGGCCACAGACATTTGCTGACTGGAGGACAGAGGGCAGGCACAGGCCCCCTTCCACAGCATTGTGCTCTGTTTTCCCAACATGTTCCCCCTACTGTGCGGTGAGCATCCTGACACGGGGGCCACGCCCACTCGCTCTTCACCAACAGATCAACGAACCAGTTTCTGACAACATACCGTCAAAACAGCAAGCGGATATCCGTGATACTGTTTTTTTCTTTTTTAAGTAAACTCAACACCCAACGTGGGACTTGAAACCCATGAACCTAAGACCAAGACTGCATGACCCGCCAAATGAGCCAGCCTGGTACCACCATGACACTGACTTTGTATTCAGCTATGGATCAGCCATTTCTTGGCAATATGAATTAGTTACCTGTGGGTCTTTAACCTTCAACTCTGTGTCAACGATAGACACAGACTGCACGTTTCTGCTCAGAAAAGGATCATCAAACTCCGTCCACGTGTAATCACCAAACACGATGTTATGTCTGTTGAGCAGCTTTCTTACGCTCAGCTTTATATCTTCTTTTTTGGCAGTGCTGGGAAAACAATTAAGACACAGTAATTAGCTCTACCTTTACAATAGAATTGTAACAAGAAGTGCTTTTTACAAAATCAGACTGGGGGCCAGAAAGCACACCGGTTCAGAGCACAGCCTGGGGATCAGCCGCAAGCCACGCCTTGCCTGCAGGGGTCTGGGAGGCTGCTGGAGGGGAGGCCCTGCTCTCCTACCGAGGAAGGGGCAACAGCAGCAGCTCCTGCCCCCCTGGGCTGCCCCGAACTGAAGAGGAGTCCGGACACACTTGCCTGGCACGCAGAGAGGGCTGGCTGGCGCTGCTACCAATACCAACGAAGGGGCAAAGCCCCCACAGCTGTGGGGGTGCAGCCCGAGTCTGCGTTTAACAAAACCCCGAGGCCTGTGATTCATTTCCCAGATGAATCTGGGAAAACTGACACTTTTCGACTGGCATTCAAGGCTTCCAGGACGCCTGGCTCCGGACCATACCTGCCTCCGCCCAGCCTGCCCCCCTGCACCAGCTCACCTTCGGGCCCTGCCGCAGCCTCGCCCTCGGAGGCAGGCAGCTCCCGGAAGGTCCACGCTCCCGGGCGCCCGCCCCACGCAAGCCACACCGAGACCCCTCTCCCAGCGGCAGACGACGGGGGTTCGCCTGGGGCCCGGAGACGTCAGGGGGCGGGCAGCAGGGGCGACTCCACAGTCCGGCCAGCGCCGGCCCCGAGGGCGCCGCCGCGTCCGCGCGGGTGCGGCGCCCGGGCTCACCTGCCGCTCCGCTGGTGCACCTCCACGTGGACGGTCGGCGCCTCGGCCACGCAGGGCAGCGCCTGCTTCAGGTCGCCCACGGCCTCGTCCATGGCGCCGCCCGGAGCGGCGGGGACCCGGCCGGAGCGTGGCCGCCGCCGCCTCGCGCCCCGCGCCGCCACCACCGCCGCCGCCCGGGCCGCTCCTCCGGCCGCCCGCCCTCCCGCCCGCGCTTGAAAGTGCCGCGCGCGGCGCGCCGCCCTCTGACCCGGAAGCGCTGGGCGCCGGCGGGGCGGGGGCGGGGCGGCCCGGCTTCCGGTCGCGGCGTCCGCTTCCGGCGCGGCCCGGCGACCTCCGCGGGGCCAGGCGGGCGGAGAGCCAGGCCCGCGGGGGCGGCGGCCACGCTCCGGCCGCGCTCGCGTGCAGCCCCCAGCCCCGCGCCCCGGCCCCGCGCCGCCATGGGCAAGAAGCACAAGAAGCACAAGACCGAGTGGCGCTCGTCCTACGAGGGTGAGGCGGCGGGCGCGCTTGGTGACGCCGGGCTGGCCGGGGGACGGGGGGGGGGGGTCCCGGGCAGAGATCCCGGTTCGCGGGCGGGGACCCCGAGGGAGGGGCCCCGGCTGGCCTGCGGGCGTCCCGGGCGGGGGCCCTGGGCACGCAGGCGGGGGAGGGAGAGGGGTCCCGGGGGAGATTCCGGACTCGCGGGCAGGGGTCCTGGGCGAGGATTCTGGGATAGTGGGCGGGGTTCCGGGCCAGGGGTCCAGGGCTGTGGAGCGTCTGCGCCCTTCCTGCATCCCGGTTGTCTTACCCGGTCTTGGAGAAATTCGTGCCTGTTTGTCGCCCGCGTCTCTCCTGTGCGTTCCTGTAGCCTCTGGCCCGTGTCTGCTCCTGGACAGGCGGCCGTGCGCACGGCCAGGAGCTTAGGGCCCGGACCGCGCGCTGGGGGCCCACCCCTCTCTGCCGCCTCCCGAGAGAGTGACTGAACTACCTGCCTGAGGTTATGCAGCTTCAGGGGAGGCAGGGAGAACCAGCGGTCCCGGGGTTTGACGCCCCATCTTTCCGCGGCCGAGCTGCCACCGGGGGCCCGGGCGTCCTCCCCGACCCTCCTCCGGGTTAGGCCGCGTGTGCCTCTCCGCTCGGGAAGCACACCGTGAAGCCGCTGCCTCTGTCTACAGATTACACGGACAAGCCCTTGGAGAAGCCCCTGAAGCTGGTCCTCAAGGTCGGAGGAAGTGAAGTGACGGAGCTGTCGGGGTCTGGGCACGACTCCAGTTATTACGATGACAGGTCAGACCACGAGCGAGAGCGCCATAAAGAAAAGAAGAAGAAGAAGAAGAAGAAATCCGAGAAGGAGAAGCACCTTGACGACGAGGAAAGAAGGAAGAGAAAGGTAGAGCAGGGTGGCAGCCGGCGGCCCCCAGTCCCCTGGAGGGAAGACTGCGAGGGCCGCGGGGTCTCAGGAGAGGGCTGTCACGCTTGTAGCAAAACGCACACCGGCAGGTCAGTGGCTCGGTTCTGGCCCGAGCCCGGGCGGTCGTGGTGGGGTCGGCATCTTGAAGGGAGACGCGTGTCTCGAGGGCACTTTGCTCTCTGCCTCGTGTTCTCGCCCAGCTGCAGGAGACCTATTTAAAAGTGCTTGCGTTGCTCTCGCCGCCCTGCCTCTGCCTCACAGGAAGAGAAGAAGCGGAAGCGGGAAAAGGAGCATGGCGACTCGGAGGGGGAGGCCGACGACTTCGATCCCGGCAAGAAGGTGGAGGTGGAGCCGCCGCCCGACAGGCCCGTGCGAGCGTGCCGGACGCAGCCAGGCGAGTGCAGGGAACGTGTTCGGAGGCTCTCCTGCAGCCCGGCCGCCGGCCTCCGGGACGGTGGTTGGCGCCGTGCTTTTCAGCGCCTTGGGATGAGTGCGGGGAGGAGGGGGCAGCGTTTTCTCTTCCAGGGCTCGATGCGAAGTGTGGCTGGACTTGAGGTCTTACTGTCCCCTTTGAGCTTGTAGAGCAAGGTTTAGTCAACTCCTCCCGTGCCCCTCTCCGTTTGTTTGTGTGTTTGTTTGTTTTTAAAACTCACGAGCTCATCATGGATGGAAGGAAACTAGCGCTCAGATGAGTTACTGAGGCTCTGCCAGCAACCACAGGGGCTGTGCCAGAGTCCGGGATGCTCGGGGCCCTCTAATCTGTGTGCGGTCACTTTCTGCAGGGGTTTCAGACGGTCAGGAGGAACTGAATCGGAGGGAGTTTAGCTTCAAGGGCTTTTCTTGACTTTGGGTTTGACTGCTTGTGATGTGGGAGGAAAAAGCGAGGATCGTATTGCAGTCGTCGTGGAGGGGGTGGTGGTCTGGCAACAGCCGTCCCCGTGCAAGTCATCGCCACGGGGAACAGGTAGGACTCCAGGCCGCTGGGCACGGCGGGGAGGGGGAAGGTCAGGCGTGAATCAGCAGTTCCTTAGGTGAACGTGCCCGCAAAGTTGGTACGGTGGCCAGTCCCTGGGAGTTGGTCTGATCTCCTGCTAGGTGGAGGTCATGTGTGCGGTGCTTCCCTTCTGTATACCTGAAGGGCTGACGTTCACGCTTGCCCTGACCACGGTCACTCTCGAGGACCCACTCGTGGTCTGCACTCCTTTTGCTTCAGCCCTGGAACCAGCCGTTTCTCCAACACGTCCTGGTTCCTTAGGGCGTTCAGAAGCTGAGGTCTGGGTGCTGGGCGTGGCCGTCAGCGGACGGCTCTGGGCAAGAGCACGTACGTTCTTATGGTTTGGGGAACAGAACCTGTGGCGGCTTCTGTGTTTCGCACGTTCACCAGAAACCACGTTTCCACACTGTGGGCCCAGAGGTGCAGTGAGTGGCCGTTCTCACAAGGACCCCTGTGCAGTTGCATTTATATTCCTGTTTTACAGAGGAGGGGGAGCAGAGGTGTGCAGAGGCTCCGGGCTCCCAAGGAAAATGATAGTGGGCGAAGCTAGTGCTGTGTGTTCTGGTCTTTCCCCGCGTCTGGAACGTAGCAGGCCCCGTAGTGACGGGGAGGGGGAGGGGGTACTCATACAAGTTGTCATTGTCGTTTTAAGAGTATTGGCACTTCCTCAGGGGTTTCGGGGACTGATGCTGGGGTGGATGCCCCTCCCACCCAGCTGAGCTTTTCGGGGGCCAAGACCCGGTCTGGTTTGCCTTTGTGCCCAGTTCGTGTTGGAGCCTCAACCACTGTGGGACGGGACGTGCTGTAAAGTTGGAGCTCTCCAGGGACGTGATACCAGAATGTTCTGACTCATCTTCATTTTATATTTTTTAAATCGTCAGCTGAGAACGAGAGTACGCCTATTCAGCAATTACTGGAGCATTTTCTCCGCCAGCTCCAGAGGTAAAGCTTGACGTTGGGAACATTCGGGGTATCTCCTTTGTGAGGTGTTCTTCCCTCCCCTCTGACATCCACGGAGCAGACCTCTCGTCCTCCCTGGGTAGCGCCCAGTCTGGTAGGGGGTGGGCCGCCAAGGGGGAGATCTCGCTCCCTGTGCCCAGTCAGTGCGGGGTGGGGGAGTTGGGGGGCGTCAGGGCCGCCGTGATGCAGATGTCATGGCTGGAACCAGGATGGTAGTTTTGGGATTTAAAAAAATTTTTTTTTGATGTTTATTCATTTTTGAGAGACAGAGGCAGCACGAGTGGGGGGAAAGACAGAGAGAGCGGGAGACAGGCTCTGAGCTGTCTGCATAGAGCCTGACGTGGGGCTCGAACTCACGAACCTTGAGATCATGACCGGAGCTGGAAGTCAGATGCTTAACAAACTGAGCAACCCAGGCACCCCTAGTCCTGGAATTTTTAATCATCAAACAAACCTACTACAGTTCTAAAGAGCTTAAATTTTATCTCTAATTTTAAGACACAAACTTAAAATTTGGTGAGTTGTGTCACGTTTTTATGGTGAAAGGCTCTCTAGGATTTGGAAATCTAGATTTAGGGTTTTTCCACTTTAAAAAAAGATGTTTTTATTTTCAGAAAAGATCCTCATGGATTTTTTGCTTTTCCTGTCACGGATGCAATTGCTCCTGGATATTCTATGATAATAAAACATCCCATGGACTTTGGCACAATGAAAGACAAGATCGTGGCCAATGAGTACAAGTCAGTCACAGAATTTAAGGTAAACTGGTTTCAGTTTCTGAAGTAACTGTTGTGAAGCTCTCTGTGTGGTTACGTCCATAAGCACTCTGTCCATATTAGCTTGTTTCTCGTTGCGAGTTTCCATGGGGGTCTGAGCGTGCGGCCGAGGCCTTCCAAAGATTGCATCAGGGACCCTGGTAGAAACGCATGGGGTCAAGCAAGAGTGTGTCTGATTTGGTTTGGCTCTAGAATGGGTATTTTTAGAAATACAGTTTTTCTAATTCTTAGTTTTATTTTACAGTAACTGGGAGTTTAGTTTTTTTTTTTTTTTTGAGTAATAAATGCCTACGACTCCCCAGTGTGTAGTTCTGAACTCTGTTTCTTGGTACAACTGTGAGGTAGGAATTGCTTGTTGGCTTTGAAACCAAGGACAGATCAAGATGAGTGCTTGACAACTTTGGTAATGGTGTCATTTAGAAAAAGGCAGCAGGTTTCTTTCTTTTGTTAGTTCCTGTTAAATCTGAAAGGCTTAGCTGTTTTACTTTCATGTTCTGGTGACTCGACGAACGTGTTTGCTGAGCCGCAGAGGCGCTGCCACACGAATGGCGACTGGGCGGGCAGCCCACAGTCCCACCTTCCTCATGGGACCGCGGTTTGCTCTGCTGCTGAGTGACAGCCCTGGATGTGAGCAGTGTCCTGTTCCCCCCCCCCCCCCCGCCCCGGCCACGTCCTCAAGACTGCATCAAGGCCTGCAGAGGATGGGGGCTTCAGGGCCTCAGCCCCAGCCCTGCGGACCGTGGCGTGGGGCCCGCACCGGGGCTCAGCCAGGGCCCGGCTGGCTTTAGGCGCCCTTACGTGTCCTCGTGGCATGCTCACCCGTGACAGGTGTGTGCCGTGTGTAACTTGGTTAGGGTGACAAGATGAAGTTTCCAGTAGATGACTTTTAATACGTGGTATTCAGCAAGATTCTCCTTTCTCAGGGAAAGCCTTTTGGCTGATACTGTTAGAGAAGTTACCGATAGAGTGAAATTTGAATTCTGTGGCAAGATTCTGGAGAGAGGACGTGAATGTGTTCCGTTCTCAGCTCACCCCTTAGCTTTTACTTAAACGGACCTGGCTGTCACTTTTGGTCCCTAATTACATCCAATTTCTCCCAAAGCGGTGGAGCTGGAGACCGGGAGGAGCTGCCATGTTCTTAGAACACACGTGTGTTGGGGCAGCTCTGCGGCTCAGTGAGTTAAGTGTCTGACTCTTGGTTTCAGCTCAGGTCATGATCTCATGGTTCTTAAGTTCAAATAACACGTCGGGCTCTGTGCTGACAGTGTGGAGCCTCTTGGGATTCTCACTCTCCCTCTGCCGCTTCCCTGCTCACGCACATTCTCTTTCTCTCAAAATAAAGCGAAAAAGAAACATGCATGTGTTATGCCTGAGGTAACTCTGGGTCTGCAGGCTTTTCACTGTAAGGACTGTGAAACTTTCCTGAAAGAGTACTTAAAAACCTTTTGTTAAGCTGAAGAACCTGATTTAGTTCTTTCTCACTCAGTTTTAGCTTCTTGACAGGAATTCGGTTTTTGCTCGTGTCTTAGTGGTTCAAATTCGACAGATTCTATTTTTTTCCCTTCCAGGCAGATTTCAAACTGATGTGTGATAACGCGATGACCTACAACAGACCGGACACTGTGTACTACAAGTTAGCCAAGAAGATCCTTCATGCAGGCTTTAAGATGATGAGCAAAGTAAGAAGCCCAGGGCAGCGAGGAGTCGCAGAAACGAGAGTTAGAACCTCATCCCCAGTGAATGACATGCTTCCATCCATCCTTCACTGGCCGTGTCTGCTTTAGAGTAGATGTCCCAGGCTGCCCTCCCCGCCAGGCACTCTCTCTCTCTGCTCCTGCCCCAGCTGGAATGTCTCCTTTAGGATTGGTGGAAAGTTCTGGATCTATTGCTCTAAGTCTGGGTGTCTGATGGATTGCAGCCAGCCTGTGATTTGTTTCATGTGGCTGCCTCACTGAGTCCAGACAGGACATCTTGGCCGTCCGGAACGGCTTCCCAGATCTGTCCCACGAGCCAGGTTGCATGCGTCACGCATCTAGGACCAGTGCCTTGTGCCTGATCGGCCCGTAAGTGAGGTGCGGGCCCCTGTGCTGTCTGGCCTGTCCCCCCCGCCAGCCCCGAGTGCTCCCAGCCAGTCGGCCGCCCCTGTGGTGCTGGCTGCCACCGCCACCTCCCGCAGTAGTGCTGTGGGGGTCCGCCGTTAGGCCAGGTGAGGCTGCGGCCATCCCCATCCCATCCATCGTCATGGCACCTCAGCTGTGAGGCAGAGGTAAAGGCCTGCTGCTCTGTCCTTTTTGATTCTAGGAGCGGCTGTTAGCTTTGAAGCGCAGCATGTCGTTTATGCAGGACATGGATTTTTCTCAGCAGGCAGCTCTCTTGGGCAACGCAGACACAGCTGTTGAGGAACCTGTTCCCGAAGTGGCACCTGTACAGGTGGAAACTGCCAAGAAATCGAAAAGGCCGAGTAGAGAAGTCATCAGGTAACGGGAGAGGCACTTGCTGTTGTGGGCACACGCCCCTCGGGACTGTGGGCGAGGGTGAGCCTGCGCTGGCGCCGACGTCCACGGAGTCGCTTGCAGATTGGCCACCTGCCCGAAGGAGCCCGGTCCCCAGAGGCCACGTGTGACCTCTGGTCTCAGGTGTTTCGACGCAGCTGGCCGGCAGCCTGGACCAGCCAGGACTTGTCCCGCAGGAGAGTCCCTGTCACGCTAAGGGACCTGGGGGCACAAGGGCCGGACAGCCCCTGCCAGCCTCACACAGGCTGGTCCCAGGTGTGACACGGGAGCCTGTCTGGCCACTGCTGTCCCCACGTGTGTCGTAGTGCTTGTTGGCCCTCCACTCTGAAGAAGTTCCCTCTCACGCACGACGCCTGGCGGCGGCCTGGCTGGGCTCCCCAGTGCGGGGACGTAGCTGTGCCGTCTTGGGCAGGGGGCACACTTGGGAGGGGTGGCTTGATTCTCATCGCACCCCACCCCCCACCTCCTGCAGCCGTGCACCCTGGGCCTGAGGGAGGGCCTCCTTGCAGGCTCTGGGTCCCCAGGCGGGTTTGCTCCCACAGCTCCTTGGACGGGGTCCATCCATTTGTTTCCAGAGCCTTCCATGGGAGAGGCCACCTCCCTTGGGCGCTGCACCCAGCAACCCTTGGCTGTTTGAATTAAGATCTTCACGTGCGGCCGCCTGCCGAAGACTTGATGCCCCTTTTGCCGCACAACCTTGTGCTCCCAGCTCACTCTCGTTGCTAGCGTGTCCACCCTCCACAGAGTTTTACCTCTTTTTCTCATGGTGCTTTGAATGATGTAAGCAGTGAGGTTCCTGTCAGGTGGCTCTTCAGATCGACTCAGACGTGTAGCTGAGGCACGAGAAACTGCAGCGGCCGTTTGGGTCTCCCTTGTTTGTGGAGGCGCCATGTGTTGCTGCCGTTACAGCCGCAAGGACGGGTCTAGGAGTGCTTTGTGCCCCTGCTCCCAGCGCCCGGTGGCCCAGAGGAGCGCTCGGGACTGGCCGTGGGGGAGGCGGGAGCAGCACGTGTCCTGGCCTCCCGGTCACGTGGGTGGTGTTCCTGCTTCGCAGCTGCATGTTCGAGCCGGAAGGAAACGCCTGCAGCCTGACGGACAGCACGGCAGAGGAGCACGTGCTGGCCTTGGTGGAGCACGCGGCTGACGAGGCCCGGGACAGGGTCAACCGGCTCCTCCCAGGGGGCAAGGTAGCGTCAGGAGCGTCTGGGCAGAGCTCGTGTACCGCGGGCTCGCGTTGGGTCCTGTCACCGTCCCCATATCCGGGGTGGGAGAGGGCCTCCACGGGCGCCACGCGGGCAGGACCCTCACAGAAGTGGTGTGTGATGTGGGGACACCGTGGGCGGACTCCCCCTTCGGTGAGGATGGTGCTCTCCGGGGGACGGAGGCCAGGCCCGCCAGGCACCTGTACCACAGCCTCGATTTTCTCCCGGTGTGCTCGCTCTGCACGCCTCTGTGGCGCCTGTGTGCTCCCCCTGACCTGGGCCCGGCCGGTGGGAGCCGCCCCCCCACGCTCGGAGCCCCTCCTTGCCCTGAGAGTGGACCAGCACGTCCCATGGAAACAGTGCGGCTCCTGCGTGAGCTTTGAATCCTGGTAGTTGAGGGTAACCTGGTAGTCACGGTAACCAGGACAGAGGTGACGTTACTTCTGACGCCTTCTTCTTGACCTGGGATATCCAGTCTCATCTGCATGCGTGGTCCCCTTGAGGAAATCTTAGAGCTTCACATCTCCGTCTCAGACGCATGTTTTCAAAGCGTGTGTCAGTGATCCGTGAAGAAATCTGAATGGTGACGTTTTGTATCATCGAGGTGAATCCTTACTTTACCCCGAGCTTTCCTGGTGGAAAGTCTGAAGTTCCCTGTGGAGCTGATGTTGCTCTGCTGGACCCGCTGGCCTGCACGTCGTGCTTCGGCCCTGGAATCTCCTGGGCCCTGGGTGCTGCCCTCAGAGGGGCCGGGAAAGAGCCCGGACAGACTGTAGCTCGTGGAGGGAGGGCTGTGCTTGCCTGCGTGTACTCGTCAGAGGCGCGTGTCCACACCCGAACCCCATTGCTCCCGGCGCTGGACTGGCTCCCTTCTCTCCCTCTTCGTGTTGTAATTCCACAGCAAGAAACCTGACTTCGTTCCCTTTAGTGCATTCACACGGTCAGCACTCACATGGTCAGTGCTTACGAGGTCAGCGCTCACGTGCTTAGCACTCACATGGTCAGTGCACACGTGGTCGGCGTCTCCTCTCCTGTCCTCCCTGCCCTGTACCCAGGCTCAGGCTCCCAGGCCCGAAGCCCCCCTCCGCTCTTCCCTACTCCGATGTGCAGGTGCCCCTCCTGGATCTTCTTGGGGCCCTTTGGAGGAAGAGTACTTTTATTCAGTGTTTTAAAAAAAATTTTTTTTTTAATGTTTTATTTCTGAGAGAGAGAGAGGCAGCGTGAGCAGGGGAGGGAGAGAGGGAGACACAGAATCCAAAACAGGCTCCAGGCTCCGAGCTGTCAGCACAGAGCCCGACGCGGGGCTCGAACCCACAAACCGTGAGATCATGACTTGAGCCGAAGTCGGACGCTTAACCGACTGAGCCACCCAGGCGCCCTTCAGTGGTTTTTTTTTTTTTTTTTTTAAGTGGAAGTAAGTCTCTTGTGTTAGAGATGGAGCCTCTCGTGCCCACTGACAAGGCACTTGGTGATCAGGATCCTGTTCTAGCCCATTTGGCTCAGGTTCTGACATCCTGTAAGATGGTGGTTTCTGGGTAAAGCCTCCTGTTGCCATAGCTCCTTTAGGAGATTCAGGAGCCGGTCTGAATCCTTTCAGTGCACACAGGTCTGATGTCAAGTTCAGGAAGGTATGAGAGGGCCTCTGTGGTCTTTTCCATGGAGAAACCAATTACCCTGTGGCCTTTTGGGATTTGTCCGCATTAGGCCATGCTCAGACGCCTTAGCTCTGCGGGCGTTGCAGTGGACTGCGTCGAGGCCGGCACTCAGGTGTGCTTCTTTGCAGATGGGCTATCTGAAGAAGAATAGCGATGGCAGCCTGCTCTACAGCGTGGTCAACACAGCCGAGCCGGATGCCGACGGTGCGTGGCCCCATGCAGGGCTGGGGTTAGTCTCCGCAGCACCAGGGATTTTCAGGTTTCGTAGCCTGTTTGACATCACTGTTTTCCCTACAGAGCAGGCCTCAGTTGCCCAGAGTAGACAAGAGTCCCATCTGGCGTTCTGCTCCTGTCCGTCCCCCTCCACGCAGCCTCTCTGACACGTGGACTGAGGGCAGTCGTCCAGCGGGGGCAGGGGTGCTGCTCAGATCTTCTCTGCCCGAGGGGTGTAGCGTAGGAGCAGGTGTAGAGCCGTGCTCCCACAGGGCTGCGGTTCTACAAGTTTATGGCTTGACTTCCTGATACCATTGCAAAGATTCCCTCGTACCTCAGGAGGGCTTCTGCAGCACTCGCGGGGCTTGGAAGGTGCCTAAGTGTGCTCTTAGAGGAAATGCCCTGTGTGATCATTGTGTTGAGGAAGATCTTGACAGAGCCATAGATGCATCTATTCACCTGTACGGAAGCATTTCCATGTTCACATGTCTCTTTGAAAAGTATTTCAAGTTGATCATCTCTTAGCTCAAAATTAAGGTTTGAGAATCATAGTGACAATTTTTTTTTTAATGGTTATTTATTTTGAGAGCGAGGGAGGGAAAGAATCCTAAGCAGGCCCTGCACTGTCAGTGCAGAGCCTGATGCGGGGCTCGAACTCACAAACCATGAGGTCGTGACCTGAGCTGAAATCAACGGTCTGAATGCTTAACTGACTGAGCCACCCACGTGCCCAAGAAGTGTAGTGGTTTCTGTAAATTTGATTTCAGCTGGTCTTGGTAGAGAGCCCCCGTGCCCTCCCCACGCGCCACTGCGGGCCACCGCAGGGGCTGGGAGCTCCCCGAGCCACCTGCTCACAGCCTGGTCCCGTTGCAGAGGAGGAGTCCCACCCGGTGGACTTGAGTTCGCTGTCCAGCAAGCTGCTCCCCGGCTTTACCACACTGGGCTTCAAAGACGAGAGAAGGGGCAAAGGTGAGTGTGGGGTGGGCAGGGACGTGGGGTCAGGGGGTCACAGCAGAGGTGTGGACCCAGGGTCCTCCCACGATCTTCCTGGCTCACCTGTTTTTAGCACTGTGTCTGGATTCTGGCTCTGAAACTAGCGGTGAAGTTAAGGTCTTCCCAGCGAGGGAAATGAACATTTCACTGGGCACCCATACTGGTGGGTGGGTCTGAGCCCTGTGCCGACCGTGGGTAGGGGTGTGTGCCAGGGTGTGTGGATGGAGAATGACGGTAGGCAAATGTGGGAGACGGAGGGCTGGGTGGACGCACTGTCGGGGGAGGGACTGACAGTGGAGTGTGTGAGTGTGCAGCAGTTTTGTCCCTGGGGGACAGCTGGCTGTGTCTGGGGATGTTGTGATGGTCACACCCTGGGGCTTGTGGAGTCTGATGGGGAGGCACATCTGAGACGCCCTTCTCTCAAGCCCTGACGTCATTCACATGGGGACACCAGCAGTGATGCCCTGACACCCCCTCGCGGGAGCCAGCCTCCTCCTGTGGGCTCGGTTCCCGGCAAGGTCCGGGGGGAGGGGGGGGCGGGAGCCCGGTCAGCACGAAGCCCTTCTGGCAGCGCGTGCTCTCCCCGCAGCACAAACCCGGTGTCTGCACTCGCGGAGCCCGAAGTGCCGGCTCTGCCTGGAAAGCTGCCGCCGCTGCCTGTGCTCAGGGCAGCGACGTGACCAGCAGGCGGCTGTGGGCCGGGGCGGGGGCACAGCCCGCAGGGCCGAGCGCGTCCCGTCTGGCTGTCACTGCACGTGGGTCTCACGTCTTGTGGCCTCCCCCTCCCGCCCTCAGTCACGTTTCTCTCCAGCGCCACCACTGCGCTTTCCACGCACAACAATTCCGTGTTTGGCGACTTGAAGTCGGATGAGTCGGAGCTGCTGTATTCCGCCTACGGGGATGAGACGGGTGTGCAGTGTGCGCTGAGGTGAGCGGGGTCGGCACGGGCCGGACGGTTCTCACTTGCTGTGCGGGAGGAGCCGTTTTCCTGGCGGGCGGATTGCAGGAGAGGCCGATGGCAGCGGGCTTTTCCCGTAAACCACTGGTCTGCTGCGGGTTGGTCTTGAAGTTCAGGTGACTCAACTGCACTTTACAAACGTGACAGCTCAGGCTGTAGTTTAAAAAAGAACGTGTCTGTGTGTAAACAACTGTGTACGTTTAGAGTCTGTTTCCTGGTTTTACGGGAACGTGGCTTGGTGGCTGTATTAGTCCACCGGGACCACTGAGCCAGAGCTCCCCAGCCCGAGTGGCTGAAGTAATAGGTGTTGGTCGCCCGGCGGTGCTGGAGGCTGGGAGGCTGGGACCCTGGTGTGGGCAGGGCTGCTTCCTCCTGGCGCCTCTGCGTGGCGTGTGGACGGCCGTGGTCGCCCTGTGTCCTCACCGCACGCCCCTCTCGGGGTCTGTGTCCCAGCCTCTGCGTCCTTTAGAAACACGTAACGTACCGGATTGGGGCCCACCCTAAAGACTTCCTTCGAGCTTTGTCGCCTTTTGAAGGCCTCGTTTCCAAATATATTCACGTTATGAGGTACTGGGGTTAGAGCTTCAAGAGAAGGATTTTGGGACACAGTTGCGTCCCCAGCAGTGACTGAGACCTGGTCCTAAAATCGCGAACACAGTGCTGTGTTTCTGTAGAAATGTCGTGTTCCGTGTGCCAAGTGGAAGTGGGTCATGCCTGTGGAATTTTAGTCATTCTCCAGGAGGAAAGGAAAGTTTGGCTGATCTCTGAGATGTGGATTCTTTCCGTATTAGACTTTTATTTATTCCTGAACAGGATATAGGATGTGTTTTAAAAATAAACAATGAGAAATCCTTTAGCCCTTAATACTGTGAGTACCGAACCCAACTTTTTGTGAGCCCAAAGAAGCAGAAGTGGAAGACAAAGGTGGAAATCTTCACAAGCGGTGACCCCCCTCCTTACCCCACTGCCCTGTCACGGCCCTTAAGGGACGGTAGTCACCTTTGGTTCGGAGGGCACAGCGTTCCCAGACTGTAGTCGCCTTCCCCGGCGCCCACCCCTGAACCACACCTGGGCTCCGGGTGCCGGACAGCGAGAAGCCCGACCGCGTGAGCGCCGCTCCTCCCCGGCGTCCCCACGTCGCCTCCCCAGACGCTCAGTTCCGGACTGCACCGTGAGTGGTGTCCGGTGTCCCTGCTCCTGTCACACGCTCGGGGTGGGGGGGGCGGGCGTCTCCTAAAACGCTCCTGGGGAGACTTGCGTGTCGTCGTGGTCTCGCTTCCAGAACAGCAGTCCTCGCTCTGTGGGGGGTGTGGCATCTGGGACGCCCTCTGAGCCTTTGTCCGGGCTTGGAGGCCAGGACTCGGGCCTTTGCTCCCTGCCCCCTTTTACGGTGTTTTCTGCTGATTTATTTTTTATTTTTAGTGCTCACTGGGTGGAAAGTCAAACGATACTGTAGGGTGAACGTGGAGAGTCCCACCCCCCCCCCGCCCCCCCGCCATGGAGTGTCTCTCCTCCATGTACTTTTGTTTTTAAATAAAAAACAGAACAGACACCAGGTCCCCCCAAGCCTGTCTTGCAGAGTGCGCGTGCCCCGCTGGCCCCAGCAGCCAGCGGGGCAGCTCGCTCGCGGCTGGTTGAGTCGCTGGAGGCGTGCTTGCTCGTGGTTTTCTTTGTAACATCTTCTCTGGCGTGTCTTGTGCCGAGAGCGTGGACTGCGGTACGTGTGACGTACGAGACCTGCACTAACCAGTTCACGTTCATGTTCTCAGAAACGCCTCTGGTCGGTGGTAGACGATCCGTAGTTTGGTCTGAGGGAGTCAGACGTCAGGTGCAGGTTTTCAGCCGTGGGGGTCGGGGCTCCTAATCCCCGCGTTGTTCAAGGGTTCACCGCGCACGCACGGACTCTTGTTCGCCTTGCTGCTTTTTAAAATAATCTTGAGATCTGAGTTTTTAATTAAAAAAATTTTTTATGTTTTATTTCTGAGAGAGAGAGAGAGAGAGCGAGTGAGCACATGAGCAGGGGAGGGGCAGAGAGAGAGGGAGACACAGAATCTGAAGCAGCTCCAGGCTCTGAGCTGTCAGCACAGAGCCCGACGCGGAGCTCAAACCCACAAACCGTGAGATCATGACCTGAGTCAAAGTCGGACGCCCAACCAACTTGAGCCACCCAGGCGCCCCTGAGTTTTATTTTTTATCTATTTTTTAAAAATCTTTTTAGTTTATTTTGAGGGAGTATATACACATGCACGTGAGGGGTGGGGGGAGAGAAGAGAGAATCCCAAGCAGGCTCTGCACTCAGCTCAGAGCCCGATGTGTGTTTAGAACTCACAAACTGTGAGATCACAACCTGAGCCGAAGTTAAGAGTCAGGTGCTTGACCAAGCTACCCAGGCTCCCCTTGAGATGTTTTGAACCTTTCTGGGTCAAGGGCTGCTTTGAATATCTGACGAAGACTGTTGCTCCCGCCCCCCCCCCCCCAAATTACACATGGGAGCTTTGCAGCTCTCCGGGAGCCCCTCTCATGGAGGCGCCTGTGAGAAACTGTGCTGATAGGGCAGGCCCCGCTCCTCAGGACCCCGGCGCCGGGAAAGCTTCTGCACGACGGGAGCGTGCTGGGCCGTCCCGTCACGTTCTCTCCCGGCCCTTCCAGCCTGCAGGAGTTTGTGAAGGATGCTGGGATCTACAGCAAGAAGATGGTGGACGACCTCCTGGACCAGATCACCGGCGGGGACCACTCGCGGATGCTCTTCCAGCTGAAGCAGGTGGGTGGGCCGCACCTGTGGAAGGAGCCCGTCCAGATAAATTCTGTTCCTAGGGAAGTAATAGCTCTTCTTTCCTCGTTAGTTTTTCAAGTTTTTACCTTAAGCAGTTAATTTTCTTCTAGAGGAACTTAAAAATTAAAAAAGTCCTATTTGCCACGTACTCCCCGTTCCTGGCACTCTGTAACTTTTTCTGTACCCAAATTGCTTTCATCTGTTGTGCTTTCCCTTTGTCCTGAATAATCTTCTTTAATGTTTCTTAGAGTATAGACTCGCTGGCAGTGAACTTGCTCGGCTTTTTTTTTTTTTTTTTGTCTGAAAAAAGTTTTCGTTTTATCTTTGTTTTTGGAATTCCTCTTCCCTGGATCTGGAATCATGGAATCATAGGTTGCTATTTTCCTGTTTTAAAAGACATCTGACCACACCATTTCTGAAGCGCCTGCCATCGTTGGTATCTGTGTCTTCGTCTGTCGCACATCTTGGCAAAGTGCACACGGCAGCCAACGAGCTGTGAGGGTTCTTTTCCTTCTTTCAAGGCTGTACGAAGAGACCAGAAGACGAATGTGCTGCAGACTTCTGTGCCCAGAAGGCCTCAGATACTCGCTCCTTTGTAGAAAGTGGACTGTTTGCTGCTCTACATGCTTCTAAATTTTCATCTTTGTAACTGATTTTCAGCAGTTCATTTCTGATGTGTTTCAGTGTTCTTTGTGTGTAGCTTAACATTTGTGGGGCTTCTTGGGCCTGTAATTTGGAAGATTTTCATCCACTGTCTCTTCCAGTGTCGTGTCTGCCCCCACCCCACTCTCGTGGCTTCTCAGGACCCCGACACGTGGCCGACATCCTGGCCTGTTTCTTGTGCTGTAGTGCTCTGCTCTTTTCTTGGTCTTTTGTTCCCTCCCTCAAGTGTGAATGCTGTCTGTTGCCGTGGCTTCAAGTTGAGTGATCTGTTTTTGTGCCATGGCCGCATCTGCTGCTTAGCCCAGCCAGTGGAGGTTTCATTTGAGATGCTGTGTTGTGTGTCTGGACTCCGTGTCATTCCTTCTTAGGTTTTCCCTCTCACAGCATGACCCTGCTTTCCGTAAAACCCATGCAGTTGTTTCCCATACCTCTCGGAGCTGCTTTGAAAGTCCTTATCCACCAATTCTGTCATCTCTGTCATTCCTGGATTTGCCTTTTGGTAGATTTTCCTCCTCTTATTGGCCATGGTTTGCTGCTTTATTGTTTGATTGGGTCCCGGGTGTTATGCTGCTGTCTGTTGAGTCCCTGCTGTCTGGACTGTGTTATTATGGCCGCCAGCAGCTATAAGTGTCTGGATGAAATACGACTGTGGTTAGTCTAAGCTAGATATGATGAAAATGTGAGCCACAGAACAGAATTTTAGAGACTGATACAAAAAAAGAAATGTAAAACTATTTTATTGTTTTATTTGGAGCATGTATTACATAAAAAAGTGATTTCAATACATTAGGTTAAGTGAAATACGTTACTATCGACTACGTGTTGAGATTAACCTTAAGTAGGCTACTAGAAGGTTAGGTAGGTTTATGCTCACGTTACGCCACTGTTGGGCGAGGCTGGCATGGATTTTACTGTCTTGAACATTGATGTTCATTTGGGCAGAGTTCTTAGGAGTCCCCTGATTTCCTGGGGTGTGTTTATATTTTGTTAGGTTGGGTCTCAGCGACCTTTCTGTTGGGTGAGTTTGACCCTGATCATAACGAATGGGCCTTTCGGTCTCTTCTGGTGGCCCAGGTTCCAGTGAGGTCTTGGCTGGGTGGAGTATGGATGTGCCTCCTCACGTGTGGGTAGCCCCGTGGTGTTAGGTCGTGTGTGCACAGGCTAGTGTCGTCCGGGCCCGTCCCTCCTGGGCTTTGGAGCCCTTGCTAGGAGCTGTGTCCTCCTCTCCACACTTGCCGCTCTTCGCTTCCGTGTGGCCACTGAGCCCCGGCTGCCGCTCTCCGTACTGCGGGCTGTACGTTTCCTCCTGGTGCCGCCCCTGCGCACGGCTGGAGGCTGCGTCTCTGTAGAGCGGGAAGCCTGAGGGATCTGGCCACCCTTTCCTTCCAGTGTTCTGGCGGAATCGCTTCCCTGAAAGTGAACTTGCATTATAGGAGTCACGTAATTCCTGACGTGCCACGGCATTAGGTGATGTTTGATGCTTAAATGCGTACGTTAGTGGAGGCTCCCATGTGGAAGTGGATATTAAAAGAATTGGATGTTTCTACTAAAGTTTTTAAAAGTCTTAGCACCAGTGCATCTCTAAAGCATTGTCACAAACAGAAGCTCTCAGATGCAAAAGTGTGTAAGCCAAGTGATTGTTTTGAAGGGGGTGCTCCTGCCAGATGGCCGGGTGGCGGCCCACGGTAGCATTTAGGCTTGTGATTGCCACACGTGGTCACACGTGGCCGGGTGTCCCATACAGAATGTGCTCACACAGTAGTGGTCTCACGTGACTGGGTCCTGCACGGGCTGCGGTCACGAAGTAGCAGCCGAGTGTAAGCCTCTTGTGGACACAAGCCCGAGGAGAAGGGTACGTGGCCCAACAGCGCAGCTCATCAGAGGACAGGGGCCCCTCTTCGCCTAGCGGGTTAAACCACTGTGCCTGGTGTTCTCCCGAGCTGCCCTGAGATGCAGGTACAATGCAGACATTTACGTACGTTTACCTTATGTTTGAAGCCATGCAGGGCTGCAGGAACTGGGTAGTGCCCTCTCCTTCATCTCCGTCCCGGCCAGGGTGCCGTCAGGGCAGCTGGCCCCCCATCGTCTTGGCCAGGGCTGCGTGAATCAGGCCCTCTGCGGGCCGAGTTGGGCGTCTCTGATGCAGCACCAGCCCTTGTTCACAGTGTGGTGTGAACACTGTGTGGACACCCCCAGCAACACTGAATAAGCTGCTTATAATTTACACGTGTGTATGTGATACAAGTGAAACATTTTATATAAAATTATTATGGAAAGTGGCTTTTCCCATTTGATTTGCAGAGGAGAAATGTTCCTGTGAAGCCTCCAGACGAAGCGAAGGTGAGTTGCACAGACACGTAAGTAAAGACTTGATCATCAGCGTTCCCTCGGGAACCGTCATGTTCAGCCTGTGAAACGGGGTGGTTGAGAAGACGGTCATGTGTTGTTTTATCAAGAAACTGGTTAAGTGCTAGTGTCCCCGTCCCTGAGTTTTAGTGACGGGGGGGTGAGGGACAGGAAGCCACAGAGCAGCAGTCGTGCTGGGGGCTCTGTCTTCATGGGGGCTGGGAGGGGTGGGCCTGCTCAGGCCCGTAGAGCCTGGGGTGAGCTTTGTTTGTGGTGCGGTGGGCTTTCCCGGCCCTCCCGGGAGGCACCGCGTGCGTCAGCAGGTGTGTGTGCACTGCACACTGCGGGAAGAGGCGAGTTTGGCAGGCCTGTGTCCTCGAGGCTCCCCAACACCCAAAGTAGACTGGCTGCGGTTGAGGAAACTTCATCGTAGTCTGGCCTCAGTGTCCCCATGTTTCCTGTCCCTTGGAGTGACGTGGAGGTTGCGTGTAGATGACAGGCTTTGAACGGAGCCCCTGTGTTGGAGCAGAGGCACCGGGCCGCTGTGTAGGCTGTGAGGCCTAGGCTGCAGGCGTCACCTGGCCCCAGTGGACGGGGGCCCCGCTCAGGCCAGGCGTGACAGCTACAATTCAGGTGGGGCTCGTTGAGAGACTCAGTGCAGAGAGGGTGACATGGGTGTGCCCTCCAGGGGGTGTGTTCCTGGTACGGGCAGGTTCGGGAGGCGGGCAGGGCTCTGCTCAGGGTCGCTAGGTCACCAGTGTGCTGTGGCACGGGCACGGGCCCCTCCTGGTGTCTGCGAGGAGCTGGGAAGCCGGCGCTCACTCCCCCCGCGCTCACTCCCCCTGCGCTGCCTCCAGCGCCTCTAGGCAGAAACGGCGCCCAGGCAGCCCAGTGTGCTTTCAGAAAGGGCTCCCTGTCACCGGTGTTGTCCCTTGCACCGGGAGCGCCAGGCCCCAGCTCCCCACCCCTGTCCTCCAGCCTGTGGTGGCAGCCAGCTGGTCCGTGCCTGCTCACTGGCAGGCGCTGTGCGGCCCGGCATGGGCGCGGGAGGAAGCGTCTGCCCTGCCCCCTCCCATTGGCACTCACTCCCCACATGGCACACGTGGGGACGTGCTTTTGTCACTACCGGGGGCTTCCAGACATTTCTGCAGATACACATTCGTGTTTCTTTTTAGACTTAAATTTCGAACACGCTCAAAGGTCCAGACTCAGTGACAGTGTTGTCTTCGGCCCTGTCCTGGAGGGGTGACCTGCGCACCTAACAAGTATGCACGACCGGCTGGAGGGCATGCGGGCACTGGACTGGGATCCTGTAGGGGAGCCACAGGGCACTCTAGCCTTGGGGTGCTCTCTGGGCCGTGAACAGGGCCTTGGCACTGGGTGGCCTCCAGGGAAATCTGGGTCTGCTCTTTGGCTGGCACAAGAGGTGTGAGTGAACCAGCCATCTTCCAATTGTGGTTTATTTTTATTAATTTTTAAAAAAATTTTTTTTTTTTTTTTTCTGAGAGAGGGAGATATAGTGTGAGCAGGGGAAGGTCAGAGAGAGAGAGGGAGACACAGAATCTGAAGCAGGCTCCAGGCTCTGAGCTGTCAGCACTGAGCCCGACATAGGGCTCGATCCCACAAACCGTGTGAACATGACCTGAGCTGTAGTCGGACACTTAACCAACTGAGCCCCCCAGGCGCCCCATCTTCCAGTTGTTTTTTTTTTTTTTTTTAAATTTTTTTAAATGTTTTATTTATTTCTAGGAGAGAGAGAGAGAGACAGCATGAGCAGGGGAGGGTCAGAGAGAGAGGGAGACACAGAATCTGAAGCAGGCTCCAGGCTCTGAGCTGGCAGTCAGCACAGAGCCTGACGTGGGGCTCGAACCCACGAACCGCGAGATCATGACCTAAGCGAAAGTTGGACGCTTAACCGACTAAGCCACCCAGGTGCCCCATTCCAGTTGTTTTTATAAGCTCCAAGGTGCAGGTACATCTGTAACAACTTTGAAAGCCTTGGCTGTGCGATGAAGGCCCCAGCCGCGTAGGGAGCAAGGGTCCTGCGCTGGGCCCTGGGCAGCATAATGAGCAGCTCTGAGCCTCTGTCTCTGGGGACACAGCAGGGCGGTGATGGCGGGTGGTTGTGGGACAGTTGGGGGCACTGTCCCCTGTGATCCAGCTACTGCTGTGCCGTAAACACGAGCTCCGCCGCAGCCTGGTGTGTTGATGGCCTGAAGTCATCACTGTAACACTTCCTCTTGAGAGATATTTATTAGAGCGCATAACAAAGTGGCTTTCCTGAACGTCAAGTGAAAGAAGCAAATTCACAGATCACCCAGACAAGACGGCCCAAAGGCGGGGGGTTCACACCCAGACGACACAGCCTGCCACGAGAGGGCTCACACCCAGAGTGGAGGGCCCAAAGGGGGAGGGCGCACACCAGAGGCGACGACGTGTCAGGAGAGGGTGCACAGGCCAGTGCCCCTTGCCTGGTGACGGGATCTTCACCTTCCTCCTTCACCAGGCCCCTGCGTGTGGCCGGGTGGAGGTGGATGCCTGCCTCTGGGCTGGTGGGGACCCTGTGTGAGCCCTCAAGCCAAGGGTGGCTGAGGGAGTTCGTGGGTGTGCAAGATGCACCTGAGCAAGCCAGGTCCCCAGACTGTGAGCATCTGCTGTGCTGTGGACCTTTTATTGAACGATTTGGTGAAGAAACGGTCTCCCCGGGCCGTGTGTCAGGGAGAGCACAGTCATCAGACGGTAACTTGTCCCGCGGTGACTTCGGGTCCAACCCCAAAGGCAAGAGTGGGGTTTGGCAGAATTTGAGGGTCTTGGGGTATTAGGTAGCATATTTCCCCTTAAAGTACTTATTAGACAGATGGCCCTACGTTAGCTGTTACCTCCTACTGGTTGTGAGTGACAGGCTGGCGTGAAAGGTTTGTATGGTGGGAGGGAGCATCTCTGGGGACATAGGGCTGTTTCCGTAATGCTGCAGAGCCGGGAGTTGACACAGGAGAAGGCCAGGAGGGGGTGGGGTGGCCACAGAAGGGGAGAGAACATGCTGGCTTGGAATCTGATGTGCTTTTACGTGTTGCCCCTGAGAAGTAGCAGTGAGCCCCTCAGATCCCCTGTGTCCCCTGCTGCGAGGACCTTTATTTCCCCGAGAGCCTGAAGCCTCTGGCTGTGGGTTTTGGTCTCGGCAGTGGCACCTGCTTCTGAGCTCGCCCCCAGTGGTCGTAGCTGCAGTGTGGACCAGACGCAGTGTGGACTTGCCTGCTCCCTGGTGTGGACGTGGCAGGGCCGGCCTGTCCTCCCGGCAGGGGTGGTGGCTGACGCCCGGGGGAGTTCAGTAGCTCGTGTTACCTGCCTGCTCAGTGGCATCTTTCCTTTTCTGCTCGGTACCTACCCGTCTCCCGCAGGCTGGGGACTCGCTTGGTGACGGCAGCTCCGTCCTGGACTTCATGTCGACGAAGTCCTACTCCGACACCTCCCTGGACATCTCTGTGCTCAGCTCTCTAGGTAGGTCGTGCTGGGTGCGCTCACTTCGTCGTCAGGGTCCACTGACGGAGCCGACCCGTGCTCTCCCCCGCTGGGGCAAGAGGGTGGTGTGCCAAGGCCTGTCCCCTGCCAGGGGTATGGCCGCTGTCCTGGGATCCCTGCCAGAGGCCCCAGCGGGGCTTGCCCAGGTCTGCTGTCTGACATCAGGGTCCCTTGAGCCCGTTGGTCTTTCAAGGATGAGCTGCCCTCCTCCCGGCCTGCTGTCAGTGCGTCTGTGCACACACGTACCCCCCAGGCTGTGCCCTCACCGGCAGCTGACCTGACCCCGCCACGCGAAATGCCCTCTGTGGGCCACATGGCACCCAGGGTTTTGGGGTCTCCCTGGCCGTCCGACTCCCTGTCGACGAGGGGCTCTCGGGACACATCTCCCCTCCTTTCCTTTGGGCGGACCTGATTGTTACCATGGGGCTTCTCGCGGACAGCGGCCTCCCCGCGGTGTGTGTGGCGGTGCCTGTGGTGCTTCCGGCTGGGGGCTGGGGGCCAGACATCCTGCAGCACAGGCAGCGGCCCTTCAGGAGGGACCAAGCCCCGAGGTCGCTGCGGCCGGGGTGAGGAGCCCGCTGCGTCACACGTGGTTTGCGTCAGGCACTTGGAGAGCGTGAGTCCGGGTCCTGCTTTGTCATCAGCCCCGGTCTTTGGCTGGGGTCAGACTGTACTTAGCGCGGCCACCGGCGCCCGACTCAGGTCCGCTCTCTTGCTCCTTGTGGGTTATTTCCCCGGTTGTCGGGGGTCTCCACGCCCACCGCTGGGCTAGGTGGTTCCCTAGGAGCTTGGGACTCCGGGCTCTGGTCTGACATAGCAGAGGGGCAGGCCAGGACCCACAGGGACAGGTGCGTGAGGGGAGTTTGCGGAGGCCCGGCGGTGCGTCCCGACCCCTCCGCATGGGGACCCGCAAACGCACCTGACCCCCAGCATCGGGCTGGGGCGACGCTGCCACCCTCTCCTTGGCTCCTCTCTGCTGGCCGTCCCAGGCTCCGGGGAGCAGCGCGGGTGTTCAGTAGAAACCACGTCAGTCGGACAGACGGTCGAGGCCCAGGGAGCCCCTCGTTACTGGGGTGGTGGGAACCCTCCAAGGGTCCAGGTTCACCAGCCAAGGGCCAGCCTTCTGGGCTCGGGGCCTGAGGCTGCTGTGTTAGCTCTGCCAACTCTTCTTTTCCTCTGCATTTAAGGTGTTTTTCCTCACAGCTGGTTTTTGGTAGTTTGAGTGTAATGTGCCTTAATTTAACTCTGTTTAGATTTACCCTTCCCTGAGTGTCATCTCTGCGTCGTGGCTGGCCTGCCGTGTCCTTCCCGGGGGCGGGGGGCATGGGGGTGCGGGCATCGCTGCAGATGCTGTTCGTTGCCTGTGTGGGAGGCCCAGTTCGGCGTCCCGAGTGCCGCCTTCTCCCCTCGTCACGCTTTTCCTCTGCTGTGTGAGGAGCGAGTGCCTGGGCACCGACGTAAGGCCGCTGTAGTTCACGACTTTCGGCCTGTGCTCGGCGGGGGGCGGGGGTCTCCCTGCCCGCCCCCCCCGCCTGGTGGTGGCGGTTTCTCACGGCCAGACCGCAGTTACGCCGTCGGGCGCTGGTTGGCTCACGTGCCTCGGAGCCCTGCTTGGCCGCGTTCTGACGGGCCGTTAGCGATGTGCAGGCATCGACCCCTGTCCGTGTGGCTGCGAGGTGTTCTCAGGGTGGCCCTGAGCCACACTTAATGTAGGGAGGACACCGCCCCACAGGTGGGCCGCCCCCTTCCTGACACTTGGGCCACTGGTTGTTGCAGACACATGAGCTCTTGAGCTCCCTGGCGGGGTCGTGTGCTCCCTCACACGTGGGGCCCCTCCTGGCCCAGACCCGGGAGCTCTCTGGGCAGCCCGCCGCCCGGAGCCCCCTTCCCCGACTCTGGCCTGTTCCGCTTCCTGGCGTCTGCGGCCTCTGTTGCCCCCACTGTCCTGCTTCCTGCTCGTTGTCACCAGAGGGCGACTCCTCTGTGTGCGAAATGGCTCAGACCTGACGCGTCCACCCGTCCCCCAGCTTCCCACATGGTGGGTGTCATCCTGAGCGCTCGGGTGCGAGGGACGGACCTGGGGTGCGGGCTGCGGGTACCGCATACGGCTCTGGCCCACGCGGCTGGGTGTCTGACGTCCGACAGCCCCGTGTTTGCACAGGGAAAGTGAAGAAGGAGCTTGACGCCGACGACAGCCACCTGAGCCTGGACGAGACGGCGAAGCTCCTGCGAGACCTGCAGGAGGCCCAGGCGGAGCGCGGGGGCTCCCGGCCGCCCTCCAACCTCAGCTCCCTGTCCAACCCCTCCCCCTCCGACAGGGACCCGCACCACCCGGGTAAGGCCCGGCACCCATATTCCTGCACCCCCGCCGGGAGGCGCCCCTGCCCCCGTGGCTGAGGCGCCGCTCTCTCGTCGGGCGGCTACACTGGGCTGAAGCCCTTGAGTGGACGTTACCCGGCATTAGGGACTGTGGGTCATGGCCATGAGACAGGGCCGTCCCTGAGTCAGGAGGAGCCCAGCTGGCCACGCCCCACGGCCCTTGGACGGGGCAGAATGAGCCTCAGATGCTGACGGCCACATTTAGTTCAACTTGGGCAACGTTTGTTTCTTCCTGCTATTCCGTTGTTAGTCCCTAAGCAGAGTATCAAGAAGTGCGTCATTTCCTCAGGGCCCTGATTCAGGGGGAGCAGATGCCCTTCCGTGGCCTGGAGCCTTCTGTGTTTACGGAGGTAGATAGAGGGGGCCAGGCGCGTAGACGGCACCGGGATTTCAGCCCCCCCAGGAAGGGAACCAAATGCTTCCTGGCTCCGTGAATTTACTCCCTCACCTCCCCACGCTGCTGTTGTAGTTCCCAGACCCAAGTACGGCCTCGCAGAAGACATTTCGATGCTGTGGGCACGGGCGGCACTCATCCGCCTCAGAGGTTCTGTGGCCGAGTTGTGGGTTTTGCTACCCGTGTCCCTGGGACACGTTTTCAGCCGGGTCTGAACCCTGACGTGTGTGTAGGTCCGCTGTGTGAACCCCTGTCTTTCCCACAATTGCAGGAAGTCCTTCTCGCCTCAGCGTTGGGGAGCAGCCAGAGGTGACCCACGACCCGTACGAATTTCTTCAGTCCCCAGAACCCGCAGCCTCTGCGAAGAGCTAGCCTCGGAGACAGACTTCCGTTAGTTTTTTATTTTTTTATTTCCATGTACAGAGTGTTTGTCGTGAGACAGAGACTTTCATCTTGTCCCCTCTGGCGTGCGGGAAGCAGCCCCGGGAGGTGGGGAGGCGTCTCTGGCCTCACGTCAGCCACGTGCGGCTGTGGGCAGCCTCGTGAATCCTGGACAGTGGACAGTCCACTCCAGGTGTGTGACCAGGTGGGGCCGAGCTGCTGTGCGTGGTCTCTGCGGGTGGAGGGGTCTGTAAAGCTCCCCGCTGCGGCAGGCCCGGGGACCGTCCTCTCCCAGCGCCCTCCCCTAGCGCCCCTTGGGACGCAAGAGATGCCTGTGCTGGGGGTCCCGCGTGTCCTTTGCCCTGCCTGCCCATGTCCCCGCATTTCCGAAGCAGGTCACAGGCCGCACCCTTCTGGCCTGGGACAGGCTCTGTGCCAGGCGGGGCCTGCCTTCTGCTGGGAGATGACACTGCCCCTGGCCACGGTGATGTGCCGTGTCCGTATACTTTTTTAATCTGAATGTGTTTACTGGATACCTGTTTACATTTTCAAAACACAGAGATCTCAATAAAATACACAAAACGATTGCGTATTATTGTTTACAGTATCATAGGTGTCCGTTCTTTTTTCTTTATATTTTTCATCCTTTATTTTTGAGGGACAGATAGAGCGCGAGCAGGAGAGGGGCAGAGAGAGGGAGACAGAACCTGAAGCAGGCTCCAGGCTCTGAGCTGTCAGCACACAGCCCAGTGCGGGGCTTGAACTCATGAACTGCAAGCTGATCACCTGAGCCAAAGTTGGACGCCTAACCTACTGAGCCCCCAGGAGCCCCCGTAGGTGTCCACTTCTGAGTGACTTTGTAGTGAGAGCCTTTATCATGAGAGGTTAGCAGCGTTCTCGTGTTCACCATCTCTTACCTACTCTGCATCTGGCCCAGGTCTCCACCCGCAGTGTATCCCGTTCACCCACCCTGCGTAACCTCCACGTGTGTTCCTCTTTGAAAACAAAATTAGAGAGGCGCCTGGGTGGCTCAGTTAAGCGTCCCGCTCTTGGTCTTTGCTCAGGTCATGATCTCACGGTTTGTGTGTCCAAGCCCCACCTCGGGCTCTGCTGACACAGCGCAGATCCTGCTTGGGAATCTCTCTTCGCCTCTCTGCTCCTGCCCTGCTTGTGCGCATGTGCTCACGCTCTCTCTTTCTCAAAATAGAGAAACTTTAAAATATTTAAAAAAAACAAAGCAAGATTGGAGCCTCTGTTACATCACAGGGTGGAGTGAATCCTGGGGGAAGGGGTGCGTGTGATGGAGGCAGTGGCCAGCGCAACGTGTCCCGGCCCACAAGTGCCACGGCTTGGGCCACCCCACCTGGCCATTGCTGGCTGGGCTGGCGGGGCCCCTTGTGAACATCAGTAAAAGGGAAGCAAAGCATCGCGCAGGCGAGGCGTCAGGAGGTTGTGGCAAGTGCCGGCAGAGGAGCAAGCCCCCGGAAGGACAGACGCCCCGGTCAGGCCGTGGGCCTGCACTCGCCCCGGCGCCACGCTGCCCGGCACCCCGGCTGCGGGGAGGCCAGGGGAAGTGCGCCCTGCGTTCCCAGCCCTGGCGTGGGGATGGGCTCTGCGCCCACCAGGCCTCCGAACGGGAGGGGCCGGTGCGGAGTCTCCCTGGCCCTCAGCCTGAGTTCACGGCCCTGCTGGATGCCGTGGGTGTGGTGTGTGTTCACAGCACCTGCCGCGACAGTGTGAGGACACAGCCCCGGACCCACCCGGAAGGTGCTGGTCTCCCGCTTGGCCTTGTCAGGGGTGCAGACAGCCCTCGTGCTGCCGCCTCCTGACCCCTGGCCCACGCCTCAGGTGGGTGCCCCTTGGTGGACAGCAGGGAGCTCTGGCTCAGCCCGCTGGGCACGGTCCCCAGCGAGCCAAGGGCAGAGGGGAGCTGCCTGCTGTTCAGAGGCCGCACGCCCTCTAGGAGGGAACACCAAGGGCGTGTCTGAGGACAGGAGCCCTCTAACCAGCTTTTTTATTTCAGTAAAATACACATGACCTAAAATTAATCTCTGCCTCGTTTACAGTATGCACTTGAGTGGCATTTGGTATATTCACGGTGTTGTGTGATCACCATGTGTGTTAAATTCCAGAACATCTCCGTTACCCCAAAAGAGAACCCTACCCCCGTTAGCAGCCGCCCTCAGTCCTTCCCAGAGCCCCTGGCAACCTACTCTGCTTGTGACATGTGTGGATTCTCCTGAGAATCTCATTTAAGTGGCCTCTTGCATCTGGCCGAACCCTCAGCATGGGTTTCCGAGGATGTCACACTTAGAGCATGTCGGCGTGGGCCCAGGGACGCCCTGCTGCTGCCACGGGGCCCTCCAGGGCTCAGGCTGCCCCTGCCTGGGCGTGTCACAGCCACGAAGGGGGCACCTGGGGTTCCGGTCCCCTCCCAGGGCCTGCTTCCCCAGGAAGCTGGCAGGATCCCAGTCTGAACCCACGGATGCTCTTGGTGGTCAGAGTAGCTGGGAAGGTGGCCCGCGAGGGGGAGTGTCCCTCAGAGCCACACTGGCCACTTGTTGGCCACAGACTGCATAGCAGGAGCACAGCGCCTCAATCGCGCTGTTGGCTCTCTGGGGAGGGGCTGTCCGGGCGGAGTGCTGGAGGGGGGGTTCACCTTGCTGCTCGTTTCTGCTGGAAGCCACACTCAGAACAAGACCAGGGAGGGGGAGTGTGCACGCTTGTGCAGTCTTGTATGTGCATCTGTGCTTGTGCACATGAGTGCATTGTGGCATGTGAGTGTGCACGTTTGCACATGTGAGCATGTGTGATCATGGTGCACACGTGCCTTTGTGTCAGTGCACGTGTGTGTGTGTGTGAGCACACACGTGCATTGAGTCTGGTGTGCATGTGCACATTTGTGCCAGTGCACGTGTGTATATGTGTGAGCACACACGTGCATTGAGTCTGGTGTGCATGTGCACATTTGTGCCAGTGCACGTGTGTATATGTGTGAGCACACACGTGCATTGAGTCTGGTGTGCATGTGCACATTTGTGCCAGTGCACGTGTGAGCATGTGAGTGTGTGCACACATTTGTCAGTGCACGTGTGAGCGCATGTGTAGGCATGTGTGTGTCAGTGCATGTGTGTGCACGTGAGTGCCAGCACCTGCCTGTCCCGCCCTCCGCCTCACTGCTGCTGTCCCCGCCCCCCTCGCCCCAGTGCTGACCCTCGGGGGTTGGGTGCTTAGATGTGTGCCCCGCGGGACTGCAGGCGACTCAGAACAAGGCTTGTGGATGATCTTCGTGTCCGGCAGGCTGAGGATCACGTACGGGAGTGCTGTGTGAGCCGTAGAAACGGGCGTGTGCGTGTTGAGGGAAGGGGACACCGGGCTGCAGTTGAGGGGACGAGAGTGGGTTGCCGAGGGGGTCAACAGCACGTTTGTCCCATCGGAACTTCCGGGCCCGCAGTCGTGCGTGGGGAAAGGCCCCGACTGCCCTGGGCGGGGTCATGGCTCTGGTTTTAGGTCTGTTTCTCAGTGTTTTCATGGTGAATGGGCGCTGATGTTGTAGCTTCTGAAGTTATTCTGATGGAGCAAAGAGGTCTCTTTGGGAGGCTCGTTTCTCATAGGTGTGAGTGGCTGAGGTCACCGCGGCTCCCGGTCAGCCAGGGGACCCCACTGGCCGCAGACTTGGGGGGCCCTGGGGTAGTGCCGCCCCTGCCCCACTCCCCGGTGGCCTCCTGTGGCGGCGAGGCACAGGCCTGAGGCCACAGGCCTGAGAAGAAGCCCCGGTGAGGGGCCGGCAGCCCAGACGTTGTGTCTCCGTGTACAGAATGGAACCTTCAAGTGCTATAAAGACCGTGCTTTCCTGCAGCTGGAGCTGTGCCGGCGGGAGCGGGGGCCTCACCGCCTAGCTTGCGCGCCGTGTCAGATGCGGCCTCAGACGCGAGTGCACTGCGTCTGGCGGGCGCCCTGCCCCGAACTGTTCAGTCCCTGCCGTCTACCACCGTCTGCTGCCTCTACTGTGGCGACAGCTGGGTTCCTGGGTTCTGAGACCCCGGTCAGGCAGCCTGCCGTCTGCCCTGGGTCTGTGGGGGCGCGCCGTGGACAGTGGTGGACGGCAGGCCTGGGCGCAGGAGTCCGTGGCCCCTACGTCACTGGGATGTGGCTCCGGGTGGAGGTTGGCACACAGAGCTGAGCTGCCAGCCCCGGGCTTCCCACGGGTACCTGCTGGTGTGCAGGGCCCATAGGGGGCAGCCCCTCTCCCCTCCCCCCCGTCCGGTGACACGTCCTCACATCCCGGACCCCATCTCCTCTTGCCCACCCGGGGTCAGACAAGGCTGCCGGGCTCAGCGTCCCTGTCGTCCCCGTGGGCGCTTTGCTCCTGGATACCCCCTGGCATGGCGTGAGGCGCCACAGGGATGCGTGCTGAGGGCGCGGAAGCCCGGGTAAGCAGCTGGGTGGAGCAGCGCTGGCCCAGAGCCGAGGGTGGGCTTGGCACCAGCCACGTGCCCAGCCCCCGCCCAGCAGGGCGCTCTTGACCGCGTGTTGGCGACACAACCTTCCCTCCGGCTGGTCCCTGGCCCCTGCCCTGTGGCCTCGTAATCCACCAGTGTCTCTGTCTTGGGCCCGTCCCGGTGGCCCGGTGGGAGCCAGGCGGCAGGGCCACACTCCGCGCGCGGGGGGCTTGAGCGGGTGCCCCAGGGAGCTGTGTGCCCCACGGCAACTGGGGTTGCTCCTCCTCAGTTAGGCCCGGGCCGAGCGAGCCTGCGCTTTTCTGTCCTGCCTGGACTGTGGCCGGAAGGAAGTGGAGCGGCTTCTGTCTCCCAGGAGGTAGGTGTCTCCTGCTTCTACTGTGAGCTGAGAACTCGGCAGCGCAGCCTCTGAGCATCCCCAGCGGGACACAGGACAAAACCATGATTCGGGGGCTGACGTGTGTCAGGGCCTTTCCGAAGGTCACGTTTGCCAGGCTGCGATGTCGTGAACACACAGGTGCGCCCAGGACGCCCTGTCCCAGAGAGCATGGCATGGTGGCATCCGTCCCGCAGACGGCCCCGCGGGCAGGGTCGGCGGTTACAGCGCCCGCCTCCGTCCACAGCCACGCTGGCCAGTGCGGCGGCCTCTGTGCGGAGCTCCTGTGAGCAGCCGTGTTTGTGTTGGGGAAGTGGAGGTGACGACGGCCTTGTGGGAGCATCGTGGCACGGATACATCTCCCACCAAAACGTGGACTTAACCGTCAAGGATGACGAAAAACTAATGTCAGGAACCGAGCTTGGGCTAAGAAGGGACCCAGGCCCCACTGAGTCTGCCCAGGAGGGAGATCATGAGGCTCCCTTCCTGCGGCCTGAGTCCAGAGTACCAGTCCCGGCATTTCCAGGAGTAGACAAGGGCCCGGCTCAGACCTGGTGGGTGTCGGGGAGGTTGTCTAGGGAGCGAGGCCAGCACGGGCTCGAACGGCAAGAGATGGCCATTAGTGGGGGGAGGGGCAGAGACCCGGCTCCAGGCCAACAGAATAGCACGAGAAAGGTCAGGAATGAGAAATGAGTCCAGAAACCCTGTGTGCCTGCAGTGTGTGTGCTGTGCGTGTGCATGTGTGATATGTGCATCTGTGTGTGCGTGTTG